GTGAACTCATACATACATATAAAAGTAAAAGAATGGATATGGTCATGTTAATTTTACCGTAAACACATTAACATGTTGTGTAAGTATGTACTTTCGATGCATGCCACATAATGCCTATAGTTATAAATGAAAGAATCAACAAACGATTTGGTTAATAAATACAAAAATTATCGATATGTTCGTTGCTAATTAGGTAATTTATTTCGAGAACTTCATGCAGAAACTAATTGCCCTTTCGATAATTACAGACAGTAGACAGTCGATAATTGTTTTATGTTTAATATAGGTAGAATAAAAAAGTTGTGCAAATTCATCCAAATTTGTTTCGTATATTTTTATTTATTATCGATTTAAGTGAAAAATTGTTTTAGAATTTTTGTCTGTAACTTAAAACCATTATATTTGATAAAAAAATTGAAAAAATAATTGGTTAGCTTATGGCAAAACCTTTGGAATAAGCTGAGGTAAAAGTTTCTTCTTCTTCTTTCTCTTTACAAGCAATTATGTCTGTTTATTGGCGGATTAATACCTCTGTGTCATTTCCTGTTATTCTTCTCAGTACTATCATCTCTGCCGTTTCCAGTAGCCTTTGCATTCTGGCTGTGTCGGGTTTTGTTTTTGAGGCATGTCATTTTTGATCTTACAATGGCTTTATAAATTCTTGACTTCATCCTGAGTTAATGTGTCTATTTCGCCATATAGTGTTATTATGGCACCCTGCCAGTCTATTTGCTTTTTGTACTTAATCGATCACTTGTTTGTCCAGATCTACATAGCTGGATAGTGTAATTCCCAGGTATTTTAATTTCCTTACTTGTTCAATACTGATGTCATCAATATCTATTTTACTATGGGCTCCCAACCTAAACTGATTTTTGAGATATTGTTATGATAGTTATGATAAATGAATGTGGCAACACCAACCAAACTATATTCAAAACAGGTGAGCTAAAGCTGGCTTGTCTATGATTTTTAAGTCTAATCGTAAAGCTTAGGTGACAGATTCCCTTTTTGAGGATTGATTTGATCATTTCATATCTGAAGTCAACCTTTATTGTCAATTTAAACAAATTTCATTTAAAGTGATGGCAATCATCGACAACGTACCAAGTCCTCCTACTGAAACTTTAAGTAGTTGTGACCTGCGTATGATAGTAGAATTTTTACGAGCTAATACAACCAGCTTACTTTGATCGATGGATCAGGGAGTCATTAAAAAATTCAAACTATAAAGTTATAAGAAATAACAATGAGTTTTCTGTTAAAGATTTTTGGAAACAATTTATCGTTTTAGATGCAGTAAAACTCATTGGAAAAAACTCTGTCCTTTTTTTCATCACTAAGCTAGAATTGTCGCCATGATGAAATTAGTAATGCGAATGAAGAAATTGTTCATATCGCCAAGCAAATAAGTTTAGAAGTGGAGAGTGATGACGTTCAAGAACTATTGGATTCCCACAACCAGGAGCTGATAATTGATGAACTCATAGAAAAACATAGCTTAATTGTTTGGATACTGTTGAAACTGAGGATAAAATCATGATTGTCAAGTGACAACTAAGTGACTTCTAATACTAGATGGTATTCATACCATTTTTTAATATTAAAAAATTAGACATATTTAAAAAATAGAATGGGATACATACGGAATAAGAATAAATGAAGAGTTCTTGAACCACTTAAGATATGCACACGATAAAGTCCTGATAACAGATAAGAAGGAAGAGTTACAGAAGATGGTTGAGGAACTAGATAGAAAAGAGACAGAGGTAGGTCTAGAGATGAACTATAATAAAACCAAGACTATGACAAACCAAGAAGACCATTTAGAAATAGTAGTCAAACAGAATAAATTAAAGCAGGTGGCAGAATACATATACCTAGGACAGATAATAAAGCTGAACAGGGACAATCAAACAGAAGAAATAAAAAGAAGAAGTAGACTAGCATGGACCTCATTTGGTAAACTATCATATATTCTAAAAAATAAAAAGTTCCCGCAATATATGCGAACGAAAGTATTCAACCAGTGCATTTTACCAGTTATCACATATGGCTCACAAACATGGACTTCACAAAGGAGAACATCGACAGGATATCCAAAACACAAAGAGCAATGGAAAGACAGATTCTGGGTATCAGTCTTAAAGAAAGGAAAAGAAACTCATGGATCAGAGAAAAAACAAAGGTGAACGATGTATCAAGACATGTTGCAAAACTTAAATGGAATTTCGCCGGTCACACTCTCCGGCAAAAAAATGAAAGATGGAATAAGCAAATTTTTACACTGGAGACCATGGGAAAAGAAAAGAAAAAGAGGAAGACCACAGATGAGATGGACTGACAACCTCAAGAGAACGGCAGGAAAGGACTGGATGCAGATCGCCCAAAATAGAGACAAATGGAGATTAACAGGAGAGGTCTTTGCCCAAGAGTGGGCGCTTAAGGCTGATTAGATAGATAGATAGATAAATCCATCCATTAGACCTATATACGCTAGTATAGGATTCCAGAATCCTGGAAGGGTATCATGAAATAACGAAATATGTACAATAAACCAACTAGCCGCAGTACGAAACAGTGTAATAGACAGCTTCCAGGAAAAAACACTTAACTCAGAAAAACTATATTGAACGATGAAATCTTACAATTATTATTCGTGTATAGTTTAATAAAGTTGTTAAAATATGTTTTTGGTACATTAGCAAAAAACTTAATATTTAAGTTTTCTAAATTGCTTTTGATATTTTGATAAATAATTCTCACTTTTTTCTTAATTTAAGTATCTAACATTCAAAGTGTATTAAGCATCCTTGAAATTGTACCCTTGTCTGTTCATCTGTGTGAACTCTATCTTTTGAAGAAAAATCCCGGAATCTTCAACTTGGTATACACGTAGATTACTGTTGGTACAAGGAATGTTTCTATTGTATTTGGGATCAATGGGTCAAAGGTCACCACATTTACAAATAACTTCAGGTAAAGAAGACTTTGGGTCTTGACAAGTTCGCTTAGAGCATGAATATACAAAGTATCAAATTTGGGATCGAAAGATAGAGAACTCACTAAAATCCACGTCCGATGTGGATAAAAATTAGAAATTTGAATATAAAAAATTCTGTCGGATCCTTCGAGACTCCGTTGTATCCGTTTATTAAGGACTCTACTGGTCCTACTTGATATGAGTTTGCTAACTAACCTTGTCAATCATTTCTCAAAACTTGTCCTATGCGTTGGTCCAAATATTAGTAAAACAATTGTGTTATTATTCTGATAGGTAATTGTATTATTACCTGTTATATGTTATTAATTCCATATAAGAATCAAAAACTATAACTTTCGTTTAATTCATTGTTCAAAGAAAAATGCAAGTTAAACAAAATGCACAATAGTTACGTAAGACAGTAATTTCCTTAATAATTTTTAATGTCTAAGACAGCTTTAATCTTTTTTGCAACATGAAACCGTTATATCACCCAGGAATAGATTCTTCAACCGTGTCGCGTTACTTATATTATACAATTAGTTGATTCTTCGTTGTTGTGGATTTTTGCGAAATACTAGTAAACACTAATTTGTTGTTTGGAAAAAAATATACGACATCCGAAGGTATCTGCCTCGGCTAATTAATATTGAAGTGCGAAACGTAATATATTTTTGTAGGATAATTTCACAATTCCATTTCAAATAAAATTCCAAAATTATATTTTTACTAAAACACAATCAAATTAAGATTGTATCAAATGATAAGGTTTTAAGACATCGGCAGGGGAAGTCTACTAAAATTAAAGCTTACCAGGTTGTAAAATAATGAAATCCGCGTGATATAAATGTAAATGGTAACATATTTAATTAATACAAGTAATTATAAAAATTATGGGAATCTCTCTTCTTCACGTACTATATCAGAATTATCCAACGTTGACCATTATCAAAAGAAAGTCTTCTCGAACTTCTGCCTCATAGAATACTTGATGTAACGTCGGTATTTGATAAAATCTAGTACACACATTTAATTCAAGGTCAGGTTAGCTCTATGTCGGAGAAAAGGTGTGGTAAGGTCAAATGCACAAAAAAACTACGTAGTACGTCAAAATTTAAAACACAATTAGATAACATGAAATTATAATTTATCATTGGACGCCACCCCTATATTTTCAACTCGCAGGGAACGAGGATAAAAAAAATTAAAATTCAGTAATAAAAAGAAACATTAAAAATCATATTATTCCCGAAGGATACTAACATATTACTTCATATTGACTTTACTACAAACAAAACAACTTCATATCGTATTAAATCAAGAATTGGTTATTAAAAATAAATGAAACTATATTTCTTTCCCAAATTTCGAAATTTGTTTACATTTAAAGCATTTTAGTAGTTAATTAGTAACTAAAACATATTAAGTCAAAACTTTAAACAAAATTAAAATATTTCACTATATTCTTGTCTCTGTGAATCCATAAATAATTCTCGCGTTCCTGATAGGGCTTAATAAAAAAATAGGTACAACCTTATTTATCCAATCTCTGGGAACCAGGAAAAAAGGGATATACTCTGCTTCTTCTCATCCGTTGGTTATTTCACCAAATATTTACTAATAGGAATCCATTTATATTATAAGTAATTATTGGAAACCATATATAGGGAAGTATTGGACCATAGGAAACTGTCTCAGTTAACTTAACATAATCAATGAACTTTAGCCTTCCTGAAAGAGTCTGAAAATAATTATTCATCTGAAATATAGACAAGTAAAGGCTTTTCTTTGTAGCTTACCTCTAACCTAGAGACTCACTTCTAAAACACGTCCTATCGGGTGGACGTTTGTAACAGGAAAAGAAGCGACGCCATTTCAACGGTTTTGAATTGGGGGCGTGATTGACAAGTTAATATCGTTCTCATCTATCGGATATGTTGAAAATTACCGTAGAAACCTTGAGTCGAATACAAGCACCTGGCATCTCTATTATAAAATTTTAATACATTTTATTTTTTTGCAGTGGACGATGCAAGTGGTAGATACTCAAGTGGATGGTTTTGGGGAAACAATTACTGGATTGGATCCCAAAATTTGTGTGAGCATATTAATCCAAAAAAGCAGATAATCATAATTTCGCAAGTAAGTAATTTCGCAATAATACATAATTTCACATAATATATACCAGTAAAAGGTAAAGCTATCGAAAAAATCTTAATTAGGATTATCTCTGAACTATCTTATTTACAGAATTTCTTGGTAGTTTAGTTCATTATATTTTTCTCTGAATAAAGTTTCCCTTAAAACTGGTATTGTTTGGTTAGAAACGTTAGGTTTGATCATAAACGTATATCCATAAAAAAAAATAAACGTAAATACAATTTAGGCGGGATCTGTCGAAAAGCAGCCCATAATGGACATTTTCCAGAGAATATAGTTTTTGATGGAATCACTTCAGAATGTGTCTTGTATCAATAATCACGATACGCGCCATCAAAATATTTTTTTACTTTCTGCGTCCATATTTTTGATGAGATTAATATATTTTTGATATTGTTCGTATAAAACCTTGTTAAAAGTAAAAGTTTAGTTTTTAATTTTTCACAATATTTGGAAAAAAGTGCAGAAAATAGAGATTTTACTTTAAATTTTTTCTACCCCTAGGACATAACCGATATCCTTCATATCGTCAAGAAAAACTTTATAATACAACTGAACGAAATTTCGTTAGGATTGGTCTAATAGTTTTTGCATAATAATTTTGCAATTCAGTATCTGAAAAAAAATTGTAAATTTTTAAAATTATGCTGGACCCAAAATAAGTATTTTAGATAGCCGAAAGTTGCTTTAATTTAAAGAACGGTACAAGCTTTTAAAAAATTTTGAAAAATTGAAATTTGTTGAACATGTGAGCTTAGGGAATTTTTTAAAGTTATAAACAATTTTTTCAAATTATACGTCGTTTTCAAATAAAAACACATTTTCGAAGGCTTCAAGTTAACATAAAAGGTAAATAAAAATAAAATAGTTTGTAACATAATAAACAAAAATTCAAAACGTAAATATATAACCGACGTTTAAGGTATAAAAATGTATCAAAATATTTGTAATATTTATTTGCCATTGGCCCACTGCAATAAAAATTAGAGGTTGTTGTATACCACGCGTAACAAAATTTCGTTAAACTATTAACTGTGGTCAGTGGTTATAAAGATATTTAATTACAAGACAAAATAGCAATAGCGGTATTGTTTAACTTGCGAATTAACCACAAATAGTTCAATATATTATAAAACAGCAGAGTTGTATAACAATAATTTAATTTTAAATAAAAATAATTTCTTTTTGATATTTTAATCACGTAAAAAAGTGGTACAAAAGGCGGTACTGTGTACTGACTTCTTCCTCTAGCTTTGCTACCTTATTTTTGTCCATTACACGCCGCTTCAGCGACATTCTTGGCACCTTGAAGATTCATGCAGCGGTTTTGACAGGCATTCCTCGCTTCTTATACGGTATTTTTCATATTCCCAGCGTTCCAAATTTGTCTTTTGGTTATTCGCTTATATGTTCGTAGCATTCTTCAAAAGAGTTTCACTTTCACTTCAATAGTTTCGCAGAAACTAAGGGGTAAAATTATCCCGGGAAAAAGACTTTAAGACCAATGCTACTAGCCACTAGTGTACAAGCTACTGTAAGTACACATGGTTTGTTTACAAGCTAACTCGCTTAAAAGCCTGCGAGTGACCATTCTTCTTCTTCTTCAGCCTGTGTTCGTCCACTGCTGAACATAGGCCTCTTCCATCTGCTTCCATCGATTTCTACTTTTGGCAATTCTCATCCACTGCCATTAGATACAGTACCTTAAGACTTTTACGAATTAATCTTACAAAGTAGTAACCTTAATCGTGGACTTAATAATTTTACATATTTGCATTTTACATTTTGTTGCTTAATTATACAAGTATATGATTACATGATCCTTAATGGGTGAAAACCCACAGATTTAATAAAACAGATGCGTGAAATCGCTTAATTGATGGAGTTGTTAACATTAAAGGTCTTCTTTTTTAAATACACTTAACAAATACACAAGAAACTTTTTAACCTAACTTATGTAACTGAAGCCTATGTGATATAAATAGCGAAATAACCCATTATTACATTTTCAATACGTATTACTCATTGCAGAACCTGACCTTTACCTACTGGTAACAATCCGTGCATTGTTTTTGTGACTAATGCAGATAAAATGCATTCTAATATAATTTTATTAAATTATAAAAAAACCAGCCTAATGTTAATACTAATACACAATTTGGTTTCCGAACTATATTTGGAAATATTTTTTTATTCCTTTCTCTTATTGTAAACCTCTTCTTCGATATGTGGATTGTAAGCTACTTTATTTGGAACCAAAAAGTAGAAATCCGTAGAATGGTTGTTGAAATTAAACTTAAGATTTTTACTTAAATCTATGCCTTCTATAAATTACAAGCAAAACATACGATGAAAAGAACGACATGGGGAATCTACAATAGCATCCACAACATATCATCTAAGCAAGAACTTGAAGTTGAGTATGAGCGTGAACTAGTTTCTTATACTGATAATGAGTAAACAAAGATAAAGAAAAAACGGTTAAGTTTGAATTCATGTATACTGCCTCTGCAGGCAGTATACATGATATACATTGGTCCTAGCAGGATTCCTCAGAGCGGCTAGTACAGAAGCCGGTTCGCCAGTTATCATATCAGATAACTGGCGAAAACTCTATCATAATATACGTTAAGTACTTCTCATCTTTGAAATAATAATAAGCTATAGCAGGATAAGATTGTAAAATCTGCACTCTGCTGGATTTTTATTTGGGATTGGGCGTTCGAAAAGTACATATTTAGAAACCGGCTTAGCCCAATTTTTTTAACTCCTTAGGTGTCCTCAGGGGCCCCCTATGATAAAACATGTATTTTTTCGAAAAAAAATTTCTTAGGCGATTCTTGGTTTCAAAAAATGTAAAAAAAAACTGTAAACATCTGTTTTATTGCCCAAAAACCCTCATTTTTTAAAGTAATTTGGATTAAATTTGAGCACACGAAAATTATTTAAATTTTTCAAAAATTTTTTAGGATATGTAGGTAATTTTTAGCAAACTTTTAAATAAGTATTTTTTCATTATTTTGAATGGCGTGGTTAGATCTGCCATTTTCGTTCCGGAAGATCCTCAGAATTAAAAAAAACATTTTTTGGCGTTTTCCCCATGTTTTTGACACATTAAGTCAATAAATAACGGTTTTTGATATATTGTTTGGTATTTTTATTAGCGTGATCAGATTTGCCATTTTAAGACCAGAACATGCTCAAAATATGACAAACCCTCTTTTTTTGATTGAACGAAGAACGATTGTTCATCTATTTTTCTGTTTTTCCAATAGCAGGGTCGTGTTGGCCATTTCCAGACTAAAATATACTCTAAATTAAAAAGTAATTGCATTTTTGGTGCCTTTTTTTTCATATTTTAAGCACATAACCTCATTTATATTTTTGTTCCCCGTTATTTGAGTGGTGATTACCATTTAAATATTATTATTTATGAATTCAATTATTAAAATAATTATTATTAAGACATGCATTCAACGTAGCCCATATAACGGTTGCATCTCTTGTGACAACGAGAAGCTTCCATAGATTTATCGAGCGCGGGAGAGATCGACCCGTCAAACAAACGAACTAGAGGTGGACTATTCCAGATGATTCTAGAAGAGTTAAGATTAAGTTGATAAGGTATTTTCGTGCTGTAAACTTATAAATAAATATATTTATATAAATTAAGAACCGCTCGTTTTATTTAAAAACGGTACATTATATTTAATTTTATATGAAATCTTTTTCAATTTCAAAAGTAAAATATATCGCTTTCCAAAATACTAACCAACCTTCAGAATTCAAACAAAAATATATTAGGGCTTTAAGGAACCTGTTAAAATAAGTATAATTACTTCTCCAGTCTCATCTAATCCAAATGCGAAGTCACAGTCCTTTACTATGTGTTGTAAAACAATTTAAGATTTTTAAGCTTATATTGTAGATAAAATTCATGAATATCATTCATTTTTTATTATTTATTTTCTTTTTAGAATCACTCCAGATCAGCGAGAGCTGCCGAAGCGTCTTTAAAGCCACAAAGCCCTGGTTTAACGATGGGGTATATACCAGGACCAGTAATGTATATCAATGGACCTCCCTTTCCAGTCTCTTTCTTCAAACTAAGATTGCATCTCAACTCTAGCTTTACTACAGAGGTATTAATATAAAATGATAACATATAGATTTTTTATTGTTTCAGTTGAAAAAAAGAAAAATATATCACTTTTAGATAAAATATAATAGTATTCACAGAATCTGATTTCATGAAATGATCATAAATAATAAAAATTTAGTGACAAAAAGTAAAAAAACTTTTTGATCTTGTAGGTCTTCTGTAGGTCATTTGGAGTCTGAAGTTTTTCTTCTTTTGTCATCATAACCCTGGATGGATCTTTGCCTATCTGGCTATGTCCTTCCATTCAGATCTCTCTTGTGCCCTTCTTCTCCATTGTCTTATGTTCATTGTTTTCAGGTCGTCTTACACGTCATCCAACCATCTCGTTCTGGGCCTTCCTTTTTTTGCCTCCTATGGGCTTCTATTGTAACATTTTCTTTGTTTGTTTTTGCATCGTTTTGTCTCTGCACGTGTCCCAGCCATGACAGTCTTTGACTTTTCACAAATCTTACAATGTCATAACCTTCACTTAACTCATGGTTTTGTCTGAAATAGGAGTCACTAATCATCTGATACTGCTAACTAAAAGCCTGTACAATAACAATTATGCCAGAGTTAGAATAAATAGGAACTAACCGATAGTTTCAGGGTCACAAAGGGCGTGAGACAAGGCTGCATACTAAGCCCAATTATATTTAACATTTATGGTGAATGGATAATGCGGAAAGCTACTGAGGACTGGAACGGTGGCATCACCATTGGCGGGAAAAAATTTGCAACTTGAGATGATGCAGATGATACTACTATCCTCGCTAGTTCCGAAGCTGAATTTGATTCACCTGCTACAACGGATAGAAGACGTAAGCTTAACGATGGGCCTTAAAATAAACAGAGATAAAACGAGAACCATGATAATTGACAGAGCTAACCACAATCAAAATCATCTGGTCATGATAAATAATATCGCTGTTGTAGATTAATTTGTGTATCTGGGCTCATTAATAATCAACAAAGGAGGCTGTACTGAAGAAATAAAGCGGCGTTTAGCAACCGCAAAAAGCGCTATGGCAAAAAAAATTTGGAAAAGCCATGAAATAACTACCGATACAAAAATGAGACTAGTAAGAAGTCTAGTTTTTCCAGTTTTTACTTATGCATCGGAATGCTGAACCCTTACTGAGAAAGACAAAAAGAACATAGATGTATTTGAGATGTACTGCTGGAGACGAATGCTGAGAATACCATGGGTGGCCTGAAGAACAAATGAATCCATACTATACCAGCTAAACATAAAGAAAAGACTAAGAACACAAATATCAGAACAAATAATAAGCTATTTTGGACATGTGCTTCGAAGATATGGTCTTGAAAAACTTACCATCCAGGGAAAATTAGAAGACAAAAGAAATAGAGGTAGATCTCCCACACGATACACGGACCATATTGTTGCTACCATTGGCGCTCCATTGTCAGAATGTGCTAGAATGGCAGAAGATAGAAAAACGTGGAGGAAAATTGGAAAAAAACAGCTAATGGCTTCATGATATCACGATACCTGCATCAGGTTAACGACTAAGAAGAAGTTCTTCTAGCATATTGGTTATTAAACATTCAGTGTCTATGGATGGAAGAATTAACAACAAATTAGAGAAAGATATTAAACGTTGCCTCATATTTTTAACGAGCGTTCTATACTGCTTTTTCCTTTTAATTTTGTGTTTTATTATTTAATCGATTCTTTTTTTATGTTATCTTATGTCTTAATTTATTAGTCTATTAAGTCTTGTAATTCCCTTTACTTTTTTGTTTTAAATCTCATTTCACTAGCTTGGATTCTAGCAACACTGTCTTGATACACCACCCGGTTAGCGGATAGATACTTTTCTGTGATACCGGTAGAGAATAGGTCTATTTCAGGGAGGACCCTGCCCAAGTGAGCAATGCTTTGCTCTCAATTTCCAATTGAGAGAAATCATGCCCCATCCCTTTGTCCTTCCAAAATCTAGTTACCTGTTTCCTATCCCTTCCTGGTGATAGGCAGCAGCTCAAGACGCAGAGGAAATGATCTTGGACCGGCTTGAAACTGAAATACTACAAGCATAACTGGAGCAGTTTGAATCGTTGTAGTACTGTGATGGGGAAGGAAATGGGACAACCACTCCATCAGGGTGGTGTCAAGGTTGAGAAAGAAATAACAAAGACAGACGTTGAAATAACATGAACTTCTCTAAAAGCGAAAATAACAAAGATACAAGAAGAAGGCATTGGAGTCACGAAAACTAACAGAAAACAAGAATGGATAACGAAGAGATCATGAACTTCATGGATATAAGGCGAAAACTTAAAACTATAATGGTAAAAAACCAAGTAAACAAAATAAAGTGCCTGGATTGCTAGATCAACAACCAACTGAAGCCTAATCTTGAGGATATAACAAATAGCCAGGTTTTCGATCGTATAAACAAAGAAAAAGAGCTACCCCACACCAACGAAGTTCACAAAATATCATAGATTTTATGTCTATTAAGGAATCAGAAATTTTCTTTCTTTAACTCCTAACAATTGATAGGCAAAATTGAGAGAAAACGAAGAGTTTGGAGCAAAAAAATCTCTTAGATCCGATATATACGACATTGAATAGATTTAAATTATGAAGGTCTAATAACAGCAGAGAATAAAAAAAATTTGCCGACGTAATCGCCAACATTAATTAATTGAATAGGGCATTATAAAAAGAAGATCCTCACTATTTATCTCAAGAAATATATTTATTTCTATAATAATAATCCGTATAAAAAATAGGTTTTCCCGTTTCGTTAATTCTTGTGTACATCTGTCATATTTGTGGTTTAGTTGTTCAATTTCCTCGCAATTTTAATTACACATTTTGTCTGTATCTGCGGATTATGTTCTACAGGTTTTTACATTTTAGTTTGTCTTTTTTTATCGAAGTCAATATTTTATTTGCCTTTCCTTTTTCCATATTCTCTGCTATTGTATTTTTACATACATTTAAAAATTTCTCCAATCATGGTATAAACTTTATACTCTGTACGTAAGACCCATACTTGAATACGCTGGACCAACATGGTCTCCTGATTTGGTTCGAGACAAATGTTCTCTGTGGCCGGTGCCTTCTTGAGAAAAGCATGCATTTTGTTTTTAGTGGGGAGAATTGCACGCCTACTGACATTGACCATATCTCTAATTTATAAATAGATTCTTGTAAGTGTTTTTGAATCATTCTCATATTCTTGCCCTTTGCAAATAGAACCAGATCGTCGGCATATAGTCTTCCCTTAAGTAGCGAGGAGCAATGATCCAGTATATCGTTGATAGCCACGAGAAAAGAGTTGGGCTCATAACTGACCCCTGAGGTGTTCCGTTTTTCTGAATTTTTTTTGATGAAGTGGAATTATCGGCGCGAACAGAGAAAGCTCTTGACTGAAGAAAGTTTTCTATGAATCTTAGCATATTACCCCTGATTCCCCATTTGTGTAATTTTGATATAATATTAAATCTCCAAACCGTGTCGTATGCCTTGGTGATATCGAAGAATACTGCGATGGTCTCTTGATTATTTGCAAAACCTTCGTGTATCTCTGACTCTAAATCTACTAAGTTGTTTACGCATGATCTATTTTGACGGAAGCCACTTTACTGGGGAATTAAAAGTTTTTCTTAAATTAGAACTTTTAAAATATCTAAATTCAATTTTGGAAATCTCGATGAAATGTTTACCATTAACCAAGATGAACGCCCTAGAGGTCATCAGTTTAAACTAAAGAAAGAAAATTTTTCTATAAGGACAAAGACACAATTTTCTTCCAAATAGAGATTTTGAGTGCTGGAATAACCTTAACGATAACATTGTCTCTGCTCCCTCTACCAACTCGTTCAAACACAGACTTGACCGCCTTATATTATAGTTAAAATATTGTTTTTCTTTTAAACCAAAATTATAATTTTATTTCTTTTATTTGTAATTTTATTATTACGAGTAGGTTAGGTTAGGTTAGTGGGCATAATACTTGGGACTTAGTTCCTCTGCACTTCGTTTATGTATAATAATAATAATATGTTTTTAAGTTCTCGTAAACTTTATTCATTATTTCTTCTCTTAATTCCAGTTTTCGTAATTACTAAGATCAACTGGTTTTTAGACGCCGTGTTTTTAATTACTTTAAATTTTATTCTTATTTTTATACCTTCTTCCCCTTCTCTTTCTTCCTTTTTATAAACAATTTTGCTTGTTCAATGGAGGATTAATACCTCTATGTACATTACAATGTACGTCAACGTAGAATGTACGTTACATTTTCTTCTAATATTTTCACTTCTCTTTCGACTTCTCAGCGTGTTTTAACTGAATGGATGATTCCTGTAATTCTTCTCAGTACTATCTCATCTCTGCCCTTTTCAGTAGCTTTTGCTTTGTGGCTGTGTCAGGTCTTGTTTCTGAGGCATATGTCATTATTGGTTTTACACAGACTTTATAAATTCTTGAGTTCATCTCAGTGTTAATGTGTGTTGACTCTGTGCTGACTACTCTTGTCTTAATTTTCTGAAATCAGATTATCATATTAAATTATTTGCTCCTTAAATTATTTTACCTAATTATAAATTTTATGTTTCAGGAAAGAATTCTCCACATCGGATTATGTTTGCCACATGCTTGTTCTGCTAATGATGCTCAAAAAATTATGGAAGAGACGTCATCATCTGCTGCTAATATTACTGTAAAAGTGGAGCAAGTTAGATCTGAACACAATAGATATAATTTCTGGACAGATTCCACTTTCATTGCCTTAGGGTAGGAATACAGCTTATTGATATAAAGCGACTTTGGGAAGAGTATTGGACTTTTCTAGTCAGAACTTAATTTTTTCTGAATACTCCAGTCGTCAGATTCGAAAATGCAGCTGAACCTCTAAAAACCATACAAACCTGCTGAATTTTGCTGAGTATGTCAATTTTGGGACCCCAAAAATTCCGGAAAGTACAAAAAATGCAAACGAAAGCTGCACTATTCACCTTTAAAACACATTTTAATTTTTGTGGATAAAAAACGAAGACGCCCTGTTCAGTTTACTAGTTCTCGCCCAAAAATGCTACGACCAACAGAAAGATATATTTATATGCTTTATAGACTTCGAAAAAGCATTTGATAGAGTAAGACACGACCTACTATTAGAACGTTTGCAAGAAGTCGGTTTAGATGGAAAAGACATCAAATTCTTAAAAAACTTGTACTGGAACCAAAACGCCAGAGTTAGGATCGAAGGTTCCACATCCGCAGAAGTAGAAATTAGGAGAGGAGTTAGACAAGGATGTGTTCTGTCGCCTCTGCTGTTTAATCTTTACTCTGAGTTTCTATTTAAAGAAGCATTGGAGGATTCCAAGGATGGAGTCAAGGTGAATGGCGTAAATATCAACAGTATCAGATACGCCGCGCGATGATACAGTGTTAATTGCGGATTCCGACTCAGGTCTACAACGACTCATCTACAAGACCAACTTGACCTGTGAGCAAATTGGTATGAAAATAAACATTAAAAAAACCAAAGTGATGTCAATCCGAAAAAACCAAAACGTACCTCAACCTTGCACAATAAGTGGGCACATCTTAGAACAGGTCAATAGATTTAAGTACCTGGGATGTTGGATCGATAGCAGCCTAAATCCTGATCAAGAAATAAGATCGAGAATAGAACAGGCCAGAAAATCTTTCGAAAAAATAAAAAAAACTGCTTTGTGATTCTCGAATAAAACTCGAAATTCGACTACGTTTATCAAAATGCTACGTCTGGTCGACTCTTCTATATGCAGTTGAAACGTGGATCCTTAAAACATCAACCGTAAGTAAATTGGAGGCCTTTGAAATGTGGATCTACCGGAGAATACTCAAAATTTCATGGACATCGCATACCTCAAACGAAGAAGTGCTGCATAGAATAGGCAAGGAAAGAGAACTTTTTAACACAGTAAAAGTTAGAAAAACATCATACCTAGGCCACATACTGAGAAAATAATAAGTACCAATATGCCCAATTATAGTGAAAGGAACAATCGAGGGAAAGAGAGGCCTAGGAAGGAAAAGACTATCGTGGCTCAGAAACATCCGACAATGGACAGGGCTAAATTTTGAACAGCTAATAAGAACAGCTGAAGATAGAGAAGAGTTTAAAATTGTAGTAGTCAATCTCCATTGAGGAGAGGGCACTTTAAGAAGAAGAAGGATAAAAAACTTGATCAAAAGATATCGAATTTTTACTGTCGAGTTAATACAAATATTCAAGCGTCGATTTTGAGAGAACGGTTCCGTTTTTTTCAGATTACAGCTTCTTAGTCAATGTTTTTATCCGTTTTTTCACCTATGAGAGGGCGTTTAAGGGGAAGCCTGGGGTAGAAATGTTAAATTTTTTTATATCTTATTTGAGATCCCAAAACTGACATTTTCTGACGACTGAGCTACAAAGTCTGTACGATGCACTGTTATGAGTAAGAATATCCAATATCTCTCCTAAACGTAACAATTAGGATTTCAATTAAAGTGTTTATTCTATTCAATAGAAACAGAGTAAATAAATATTTATGTAAAAAGTAGTAGTAGAGTATTTACTAAATGAATATGCAAAATATTACCACATTTGTGGAAATCCTGTTTTGGCCATGATGGTAAGTGGCAAGATTTGATATTTTTACGAACATTCTTTTACTTCTAGGGTTACCACTGTTGCAGTTGTTTTCATGCTGATTATGGGTACGGCGTTTGATTACTATTTGGAGCATCTTAAAAAGTGTAATATGAAAGATAAAAATTTCTCTCACTTTAGTAAACAGCTTGACATGGCTATGCCAGATTTAAAAGCAAAGAATGGTAAGATTTTCAAATAAACTAAGTTAACCTGCTTTATTTCGCACAATAGTTTTGGTCAACGAATTAGCAGCTTCTAGTGGAATTTGTTATTGTATCATCTTTTCACGTAAAATTAATCATTCCATTATTGTCGTAGACTCATCCCATTCCACCAGTTGGCTCCATTCTTCTCTTTCTTTGATTATCCTTTCTATAATTCTAACTTCCATACTCCTAAAGTATTTTTCCACTTGTTGTTTCCATCTCAGTTTAGGTCTTCTCATTATGTGTCTATACCATCCAATTCTTTGTGCTTTTATTGCTCTGTTTTTCTTGGCCCATCCATTCTTGTATTCGTGATTCATCCATTGTCTTGCACCCTCTTCGTTTTCCCTCTTTGTTTTCAGTATTTTTCTGATAATCTTCCTCTCAAAAACTTTAAATTGCTCTTCTTCTCTTGCTGTTAATGTAAATGTTTCTGCAGCATAGGTATACTACTATTGGTCTTATTTGATTATTTATTTCTATAAACTGCTGCGTTTACCGCTGGAATTCTTCTTTTCATATCTCATATTTCTTATCTTACTATCGTCATGTAAAAATTTGTATTCATATATCATTGTTGTAAATTATTTACCAAACATAGAATGTGGTGGAAGCATATTAGATTACTAAGTAAATATTATGTAAATAAATAAAATGCTTTTGCTTTAGATCACGTACAAAAAATTTAACTTTGTATATATTTGTATTTGCAGGGCTTTATGTGGTGAACAACAATAACACTACAAATTGTAGCAATGATGATCACAGCCGTAGCATAGATATTAATAGTAGCAACCCTTCAAAACCGCGTGAACCTCTTATGAGTATGTATATAGCTTTATTCTATTACCATCCTAATATTAAAGTAGTTAAGTCCGGAGAGACGGGCCACTTTTTTTCTGACACAGATTAATTGAAAAATTGACTAGTGTATGATGCGATTTTTGAAAAAGAATACTTATTATAGTTTGTATATTTATTGTGCATAATAAAAAACATGTAACTTGAGGAATATAAAAGTTATAGAAATTAACATAAATACTTCTTATTGGCCCATCTATACCAATACGTAGGTACAGATGGGCCATTGCTATTGGTACTGTTGGGCTATATTTGAAACACATAAAATAATTATGTTAACCTATTTCTTTTTACTAGCAATTTTTTCACACGAATCACAAATATTTTCAAATTTGACAGTTGTCATGGCACCAGTGTTTGCAAATCAAACATTGAACCCAGTCATATTTTCTGGATGTTTTGCTGTAATCTTCACCACAACCAATGCACTTATTTTCGTTAAATTCCTTTTCGTCTTCGCTGTCATCTAAAACTGGCACATCTCCATTCATATCATCATCAGACGAATCTAACTCATACTTTTTACATTGACGCCTTTTGTTTTGTTGCTTTGGAACTGTTTTTTTTTATTCTTGTTTCTTTATCTTCTGTTCTTCAATTTTGCCTGCAGAATTAGAATTTTCGCCACTCTTCTTTCTCGGCCCCTTGAACTCTTTATTGCAGCATCAATTTTAGGTACAGGCGATAAAGTGTCCAATACTTTTCCAGGTGTTACATTTGATTCTTCAATATAAGACGTAAAGGACCTGGTTGATCTAAAATATTTAGATCTATTTCTGTATTATTTTGTTCTACTACAGCTGAGAAGCTCTCATTTGTGGACAAAAAAGCCTGCTGCGGAATTTTATCGGGATCAAACGGTACAATTCCTGTTGCAACAAATCCAGATGTTCCATTTTACATCGTTGCTGAGATTTTCCACGCATTTTCTACGAACTCACCAAACTGGCAACGTGTAATTTTTCTTGTTGGATTGTTTCTGATATAGTTTTGACATCTCGAGTAAAAATTAGCCTTTAACGATTTGAAAAAAGCTCGGTCCAACGGCTGCAGAAAAAGCGTGGTATGACTGGGTAAGCACATTATAATTTCGTTGTTTTCGGCGCATTCTAATGCTTCCACTACTGCTGTATGGAACGTACGTCCATCTAATATCAGCAATACTTGGCCTTGAGGCTTTCGAGGAATAGATAGATTTCTTGGCCAATGTAAAAAATCATCTGTATTTATGTAGGCCGATTTTTCGGACATTACAAACATTGCTCCAGGTGGCATTCGATTCGCGTATTTTTCTTTTCTATTTTTTCTTTAAAAATAGAATACGGAGGTAAAAATACGCCCTCAGCATTGCAGCAGCTTATCACAGAAATCGTTTCTCCTTTCTCTCCTGAAGAAATACCAGGGACATTTTTGGATCCTTTAGACGCGAGTACATGTCCAGGCCTGTTATTTAACTTCAAACTTGTCTCGTCTACGTTGAAAATTTGTTCCGGCTTATTTATTAGTTGACTATTGGTTGAAATACTTTGCAGCAGATCGAAGTACTGTTTAACTACCTCCTGGTTTAATCCTTTTGCCATGTCCAAAGAAATTCCTTCTCCTTTTCGCACTGATATGTGTGGATGGTGCTGTAAAAAATAGTGTAACCATTTAAAACCAGCTTTATTGTTGTTTCTATTGAATTTGTGACTTACATTAAATTTTTCTGCTAGCTCAAACGCCACTGTCCGTACATGGTCACGAGTGGGTGCAAAACCATACTTTTGCAATTTCTTAATATGTCGTTAATTCTGTCGTTGACTAAATGTTATAAATCGACGTTGTCGCACTGCACAGTAAACGGAGGATTTGCAATATGACGAATGGCCCGTCTATACCCATGGCCCATCTCTCCCGGACTTATCCTATATTTGAAAATTTGTTACAGGAGTAAATTCAAATTATTTTAAACTGTGGGTCATACTAAATTTCGTTTCATAATAAAATTAAAAATTAATGAAAGAGACAAAATTGGCTCCAACATATTTCAGCACATAAAACAGCTACATTATTAACTTAGTGGTTCACCAGCGTTATCCTGTGTGGTTATTGAAAGTTTGTGCTCAACTCAAAACTCAGATAAAACTCGCAAAAAAGTAACATTCTATGAACGATGAAATTTTGAATCTAATAGACAAAAGCCGCAATTTTAAGAATCTAAACGTCGACATATATCAATATGCCAGTAAACAAAATTATAATACATGCAAAAAGTAAAGTAATTCATTTCAGAACGAGTCCTTGAATACTTCTTTCCTAATTAGAAGTTTTAATTTTTATTTTTTTGAAAAGTTTTGAAAAATAGTTAAAATAGTGTTTTTCTTTTTCAAAAGCTCAAGAAACCATTCAACATCTTACCAAGAACTGCCACGCATTTGCTGCAACTGAATATAAGGAACGGCACTACCCAGTCGGAAGATTCTTCATCAAGAGATAGCCATCAAGCTGGGACTTCTCCAAACAAACCATCTCCCATATTATCGTACCCAGACAATACTTGTTATTCTCTCTACTACTGGAGTCATTCCGAAGGAACCTCCTAAAAAACATAAAGCTAAGCCTAATGAACATATCTACCAGACAATGTAGAAATCGTGTTAAGCACTTAAGCACTCTATATTGATCGAAGTTCTAAAAGATATTGGCTTGGACGGCAGAGATGTTCGAATAATTGCAAATTTATATTGGAATCAAAACAACATCAGTTTTAGTAGATGGTGTGAATCACAAGCTCTCAATATTAAAAGAGGAGTACGGCAGGGATGCCTCTTGTCACCCCTGCTTCTTAAACGTTTACTCCGAAAGAATTTTCAGAAAAGCACTTTCTGAAAAACAAGAAGGAATACTTGTGAACGGCGAAGTCATCAATAATTTGCGATATGCGGACGATACAATACTCCTAGCTTCTAGTCAAGAAGATCTGCAAACACTACTTGATAGTGTCGTTGAGAGTTGTAGAGAGGCAGGTCTGGATCTTAACATAAGGAAAACCAAAATACTTGTAATAAGTAAACAACAGAATATAAAACCGTCTATATATGTAAATAATACCAAACTGAGAAAGTTGATAAAATCGTCTACCTTGGACAGCAATTAAATTGTAATGCAGAAAATCACGGCGAAATTAGATCCAGAATAGAGCAGGCTAGAGCTGCTTTTAGAAGGATGTCCAAGGTGTTATGTAACAGAGACCTAAAATTGGCATTAAGGATCCGCCTATTTCGCTGCTACGTGTTCTCGGTCTTACTTTATGCTGTCGAGTCCTGGACTGTGAATAAAATCGATCTAAATCGCCTTGAGGCTTTCGAAATGTGGTGGTATAGAAGAATTTTAAAAGTTTCCTGGCTAGAGAAGATTCGTAACTCCACATTACTAGAACGTCTCAGCAAGACTACTGAGATCATAAAAAGCATCAAGCAGAGAAAGCTGGAATATTTCGGACATGTAATGAGAGGTCCCAAATATAGATTGCTACAAAATATCATGCAAGGAAAAATAGCAGGCACACGCAGTCCAGGACGAAGAAGAACCTCATGGTTGAAAAACTTGCGAGATTGGTATGGTGTAGATACAAGTATGCTATTTAGGGTGGCAGTGAATAAAATTAAAATAGCTATGATGGTAACCAACGTTCTGAAAGGACATGGTACATGAAGAAGAAGAATGTAGAAAGCTGTACTACTCTCAACGTCCAGATATGTATGAAAATTTTTGGGAGATACTCCAGCGTACCAAGTAACCTAGGGCTCGATAACACAAAAAGAGTCCCACAAGAGCACAATCCTTTTAATACGGTAGGTATCTGGGATAAGTATGGCTAAATCTGATAACTACATTCAAATGTTGCGTGAAGAAGGGATTTTTACTACGTCATGCGCGCAGCGAACCGATTTTGGAACATTATGTACCATACCTTTTGGTAGCCAACGCACAATAATTAAGCAGAAAAAGAAAAATGCGTCTATAGACAAAATAATAATTTTATTGTGAATTTTGAACTCTTATTTGTCATGTCAAGAAATATTTTATTTCCAAGTTATTTAATAAATTTCAAAAGACCAAAAAAAAAGTTTTTAATCTTTCTGAATTAAGTTTAAATCTTTGAATTGTTTTAGGGTTTATTTTTAAGGAACTGCTATTATCATTCTCAGTTAGGATAAACATGAGCTATATATGTGACCAAACTGTTGGAAGCGACACCATATCAGTAATTCACGGTTTTAAAAGCCATAAGTATGGCTTGGGTTATTTTAGGTCATACATGCATTGTTATTTTCAAATACTCAGGTGAGATATGTTTAGTATTTTATTATTTTATAAACATTTTAAAGATACATACATAATCTTTTATATTTTTAAGTTCAAGGAAATATAACATAATAGACTACCTAAGTCTGACGTCAAAACGGGCGGAGATTTTAAAAACCTTTCCAAACATTTCTAATTCGTGTGTATTTATTCCATCAGAAGTGTTTTAAGCATAAATAAGGACTTTTGGTTATGAACATTCATTCTATGCGATTGATATTAGTTAAAAAAGTGTTGCCAACTTACATTTCTAGACCTCTAAAAAATTCCCTTTATTACTATTATGTTAACTACATCCTATTTTTGTTTAGATAATATGGAATATAGAAGAATTGTACAGAAAGAGTTCCTCTTTCAAACAGTCACCAACGGAACATTCAGCGTGGACACTTTTTTCTTTTGCAGTGGTCTTTTAGTCTCTTTTCTCTACTTTAGAACAAACGCTAAAGGAAAATTAGATTCCTTAAATAAAGGTAACGGATTCATAGCAGGGATACTACACTTCCTGGGATTGGTGTCTTACAGGTTTGCTCGGTAAGTACATTTTACAGTATAATAGAATAGAATAGAAATATGCTTTATTGTCTCTGAAAATTATTGAACAATTTTATGGACAAAGCTAAAAAATAAGTCAGTCAAATAATACAAAAAGTATAAAACAAAAACAATATAGTAAAAAACAAAATAACACAATTTTAAATTAGTAAAATTATTGTATAACCTACATAATTTGTACAAACAACAACAAATGAGACAAATTGTAGCCACTGCTTGAGACACCCAAAAGTAATTATAAACAATACTAATTTTGTTTCTTTGTTATACATTAAGAAACTCGTCAACTGAGTAATATGGTCTTTCTGAGAGATAGATTTTTGTCACCTTACGAAACTTAATGAAGGATGTTGCAGATTTGATTTCTCTTGGAAGGTGATTATAAAGTTTCTTTGCACGATATAGAATAGAATTCTTTACTAGCTGAGTGGACGGGATCGGCAAATAAACGTTACAATCCGAACTCTAATGGAGTAGCCATGGTCAGGTCTATCGGGAAAAATGTTTAGATGCTTTCGAATCAAACAAACCGTTTCCAAAATAAATAAAGAGGGAAGCGTCAAAATTCCGTGATTTTTGAAGTAAGTCTTGCAATGAGTTGTTTGTTTGAGACCAAATAGATAACGGATTGCTCTTTTTTGCAACTTAAAAATAGTATCAAATTGGGCCGCTGTACTAGAACCCCAAAATGGAAGCCCATATCGAAGATGGGACTCGAACAATGAGAAATATGCCATTTTGACAGAAGATAAAATTTAGTTCCTTCGAAACAGATCTTATTGCAAAGCAAGCTGAGGCTAGTTTCTTCCTTAAGAGTCAGTATGCAAGGACCATTTGAGATCACTGTCAATGAGAATACCTAGAAATTTCACGGAATTTACGATATTGATTTGGCTCTCATTCAAAAGCAAGGGTTGCATGACTCCTTTATAAGATAATGCTACAGTCTTATCCACGTTAAAGCTAAGTAAGTTGGAGTCTGACCAAGCCTTGATTATAAGTAAATCATCGGTTATAATTGAATGAAGCGTTGAAATATCAGAGCTGCTCCATGTAATACTGGTATCATCAGCAAATAGAAAAATTTTCCCTTTAATTTTTAAGTAAGTGATGTCATTAATGAAAAGTAAAAAAAGAATGGGACCTAATACTGAACCTTGCGGTACTCCACACTCAATATCTTTACAACTAGAGTCGGTGTCATTTATTCTAACCAATTGTTTCCTACCTACCAAGTAAGTTTTGAACCAGTTCAAAGACACCCCGAATTCCATAGAAAGTTAATTTTTTTAATATAATGTCGTGATTTACGCAGTCAAAGGCTTTGGAATAGTCGCAGAAAACGGTGGCGGAGGAGAGGTTACTGTTTAGTGATAGATATACATCATGTAACACAGAAAATAGTCATAACAATAAATTGATTTCATTAATGTTCGTTATGATACAATAATATTGATTTTAAAATTCAATAAAATCGTAAAAATTAATAAATTGGACCAATTTATATTAACAAATTTAACAAATATTTTGATTTTTCTGAAGATTTTTGTGAAGATGCAAATCGAATAATATTTGTTCTATTCACAAAACCTTATCAGGAAGTAATATCAGTAGTTTTCAAATTATATAAGGGGGGGATACACATAAAATACCTAAACACCAAAAAACTGGAAAACTTAGACCTATATAGAGCGAAAAACAGAGAGGTAAAGAAAAGAGTAACAAACGAAAAGAAGGAACGATGGGAACAAGCATGCATAGAGATAGAACGACATATCGGAAGAACGAGAAATTCAGAATAATGGCGAATATTAAAAGCACTCCAACGAAATAAGACAGAGAAAACCCAGATCGGCAAAATTAGTGAAAACGAGTGGCAAGAATACTACGTAGAACTACTTACAGAAAACCGTCCCCAATTTCAGCAAGAGAATACAGAACATGCAGGAAATGGGACACACGACCAGATAGAAATAAGTCTGACAGAAGTCAAGAGAGCAATCAAGACATTGAAGAACAAAAAAGCCAAAGGACCCGGAGGGATACCAACGAACTAATTAAAAACGGAACGGAAAAGTTATTCCGCATGCTACACAGAATGTTCGAAACAGGACTAAATGGAGAGGAAATACCTGCGGAATGAACAGCATACATTACATCCATATATAAGAAAAGAAACAGGAAAAAATGTGAAAACTACAGAGTAATTAGTATAATATCGTCGGTAGGTAGACATTACGGAAAAAACTATCACGGAAAAACTAGAAACTGAAATAAAAGGAAAATTGGAGAAGACCAAGCAGGGTTTACAGTAGGAAAAATCATGCCTAGATCATACGTACACATTAGAACAACTGATAGAGAAGAAAATGGCAAAAGATAGAGCGGTTCATCTGGCGTTTGTTGATCTAAAGAAAGCATACGACTCAATACCTAGAGTCAAATTATGGGAAGCAATGAATGATCTCGGAATCCGAAAAACACTAATAAAAGCAGTTAAAGCACTGTACAAAGAAAACAAAGTAGCTATTAAATGTGGAAATAAAGCCTACAATCCATTTAAGACGACAAAAGGACTTCTACAAGGCTGTGCTACGTCCCCTACTCTGTTTAAAATATTCTTGGAAAAGACACTCAAACCATGAAGGAGAAAGTGCGAAGGAATGGGCATACCAGTAAGAGACGAATACCTATACACCTTAAGTTTTGCCGACTGTTGGGAAAAGTTCCCAATACCTTGAATTTAAATTATATAAGAAATTAAAATTTTGAACCTCTAGCGCCATTTTCGTGCGTTCCCAATGTCACATTTTTTATGACATAAGTTCCAATCTGTTACACTTAAAAAGCCTTCTCGTCATGAGAGGGCGTAATTTATTGTGAAAGGGGACTTATCCACCCAGTGGCAGTTTTCAAAAACTGCAAGACGACAATCAGCAAGGAGAGAAGTTGGCGGTGTCATAGAAAAAATATATACGGCGTTATGTCTTCGCCATTAGCCATTTTTTATTTAAGATTTTGACAATTATAAAACGATCTTAGGAATGTGAACTTGGTGGAGTCATAGGTGCAACGAAGGGAAAGTGTAATGATAAAAGTGTTCCTGCTACCAGTTGCCGTCGGAAGCATCTTCTGAAGGGTGTCAAGTACTGTGGAAAGTTATTGTAAGGTAATATTCTCTATTATTGAAGTCCTCCATGGCCAGAGACACAATTTAAAACGAAATTTGTGTACACACTCTATTCGCGAATGAAACCATATCTCGTGTGCTTAATATAAGTTAATGTTAAAATTTAGAAGGCCGAATAAGTATGTGCACATTTCTCTGATAAATATGAATTCATATCCATTTGTATTGTAACCCTTTTTTTGTTTGTAAGATGTTTAATGATTTAAAGACAAAAGGAAGGTAGTATATAAAAATTACGAGAGAGTAAAACTTTAACATACATTCTTGTTCTTTGTCAGTTTTCAATACACTTATAGTACTGTTTATTTATTTTATTTCACTTATACCTAATAAAGTCAATTTTGGAGATTCTGAACTAGCCCCTAACTGGAAATACAATATTAACTCTAGGAGTTTTTATATAGTCGGAGACACGTTTGTCGGTTCTCCACGCTCGAGTGGTTGCAAGGCAGACCAAAGTAGTTTGCTAAGCGATCACCGACGATCAAGTAGACATCGCACAAGATGAAAAAGATCTCAGCTTTATGCTCAGAAAACTAGAAGAAGAATATAAAAATAACGGAATGTAAATAAACTTAGAGAAAACCGAATACCTAACAACAGAAAACAAGGATATGAGAAATCTAGAGATAGCCGAGGAAAGACAAGTAAATGGAACAGATAAATTCAAGTATTTAGGAACCATAATATCGAACCAGGGAACAACAGAAGAAGATATAAACAACAGACTAAGACAAACAAGACACTGTATAAGACAAATTCAGTGCTGTGGGATAAAAACATTACGATAAAGACAAAAAAGAGAATATATAATACCCTGACAAAAAGTATCCTGACATATGGGTCTAAAAACTGGACAATAAACAAGAGAAATAGAGGTAGAATAAGAGCCGTAGAAATAGAGTTCCTGAGGAGAAGCTGTAGACTTACAAAAAGAGACAGAATTGAAAACGCAGAGATTAAGCGGAGAATGGAAGTGCAATCAGACATAATTGACTATATAGAGGAGAAGAGACTATCCTGGTACGGCCACGTCAGAAGAGCGGACAAAGGACGCTGGATAAACAAAATCACAGAATGGAGCCCGATCGGAAGAAGAAAGAGAGGAAGACTCCGAAGGTCATTCAGAGACGAAATCGACGAGGCTATGGAGAAAAGAACCCTGCGAGATGGAGACTGGAATGACAGGGAAAATTGGAGAAAACGGTTGAGTGAAGGAAGACAGTAAAAACTGTGGAAATCCTTAGTAGTAGTAGTATAGGGGAGGAAAGGAGTGAGGCAGTGCTTGGAAACGCTCGGTTGTCAAATGCGTGCTATTGCCACATTGAACGGCTCACATTCCATTCTTTCAAGCATTCGATTTCAATTTATTTGTAAAGTCAGATGTTACACTGGTTTGTTTTAATTTTCTAAACGTGATGTCCTCACGCCCCCTAGGAAGAGCGCGCCCCCCCCAGTTTGGAAACCCCTGTATTAGAATATTTCATAGAATAGCTCGATATTTGTAATCCAAAAATTTGGTCGTCAAAATAGATCCCGTCTGAACTAATAAACAATTATTAATCAATACCATTTCTTCTTTATTCCAGATTGACATTCCCCTATTTATTTACTCTTGGGGTAGTTGAAGTTAGTATGAAATGGTTTGCTTACAACTCAGTATTTGAACCTCCCACCAATGACCACATAAACTGCCCAAATTATTGGTGGAGGAATATTCTTTACATTAATACACTATTTCCAGTCGACCAAATGGTAAGAAAACAACAACAGAAATTATTTTATAGTCAAAGTTCGTAATTATAACATTTTTGTATTTTTAGTGTATGCTATGGAGTTGGTACCTTTCAGATGACACACAATTTTATGTAGTTGGAGCTGTCATATTAATTTTGGCCACAAGGTAAATTTATAATTTATGTTAGCAATACAACCATATTCGTATAAAAAATTCCCCTTTCATAGGATCAAATTTTTCTTATTTATATTATATATTTTTTGTTGTTTTAGTCACTTCAAAAGTGCTGCAGCTTTGTTAATCACGTTCATGGTGAGTTCCTGGATGACAACCGGCTATATAGCTTACAGCAATAGCCACATACCTGGCTCTGATGATCCTTTAGCGCTGTTCGACAAAATTTACGACAAACCCTGGACACGATTAGGACCATATTTGATTGGAATGTGTACTGGATGGTTGCTGTTTAAAAAAAACTGCAAGATTCAAATGTCAAAGGTAATAAAAAGTTTTTAATTTCTTATTTTCGTTGAAAGTATTGGATTTTTAGAATAGAATAGAATAGAAATATGCTTTATTGATATAAGGTCGAATGCTCGAATAAATGAACTTTGATAAAATGAAAGGCAGATATCGAGCACACTTTTATTAATTCAATCTTGATTAAGTACTTTCGCTTTCTAAAGCATCATCAGGGACATTTCGTCACTTTTGGACTATCCAACAAGCGCAAAATGTAATAAACATAACGTTAAACATAAAATTGTACAAACACTACATTAAACAAGGACAAACAGTTTAAAATATTTTAAATTAGTCGAAGCTATATTCTTGTCGTCAACAGGAGCTCAATAGCATTCTCTATCAGGTTATTTTTAGCTTAATCTATTTAGTTTAATTAAATATAGTTTTGATTCAACTAAGTTTAAATCAAATATGCCACCAACATGACACTGCGATGAAGCCCAAGCAGGATAGATTGTAATTTTGTACGAGGAAAGATATACACAAAAAAATATTGCAAGGCGTTTCAGGATAAGTCAATCTACAGTTTCGAATATTTTAAAAAGGTACCATGAGACATGCAATTTTGTACGAAAGACGTCCAAGGTGCACAACCATTGATGACTATTTTTTTGTACAATGTAACCAATGTTGGTTACATTGGATATGACAGATTCATGTTAATGCACAATAATGCTCGACCACATTCTGCAGCCATAGTAAGTAATTATCTTGATGAGATCCAAATACAAAGATTGGATTGGTCACCATTTAGCCCTGATTTAAATCCAATAGAGCACATGTGAGATCAGCTAAAACGCCGCATACGACAAAGAAATACCGTTCCAAATACGATAGAGCAGCTTCGGCTTGCTGCACAGGATGAATGGAATGCTATTTCCCAAGGGTATGTCCAAATTTTACTTGTAAGCATGCCAAGAAGGATGCAAGAAGTAATTAAAGCTAGAGGGGGAATACTAGATACTGAACATGCACTTGTTTCAATTAAAAAGACTTGTTTAAGCAATTTAAGTTAGCATATAAGTTTAGAGTAAAAAAACCTTTTTTACCTAGCATTAAGCATTATTTTTTTCGCAATTTTCTCCGCATAAAAATTTAAAATTATTCATTAAACATTATAAAAATAAACTCTTTTTCACAATAAACGACTTGATTGATCAAAATTTATTTTCGAAAAAAAAAAATTGGAAAATTCCAAAATATTCGATATTTTTGTCCATGAGTGAATAATTAATTTTTTGTATGTGAATTATTATTTTTTTTTAGCTCGTTTTAATCACCGGTTGGACTTTATCTATTGGAGTTTTATTATCCCTAGTTTATGGTTTATATGAAACTAAATTGAATCCTTGGTTGGGAGCTACTTACAGTTCATTAAGTCATTCTGCATGGGCTCTGTCATTGGCTTGGATTGTGGTCGCCTGTATGACCGGATATGGAGGTAAGCAGGTTATGAATTTTATACTTAAATGATGCCGATGGTTGACATTTCTGCTATTTTGCAAGTCATAAACCAGTGCGTTGCATTTATGTAATTATCATTGTCAATATAAACGTTGTACAGTCAGGTGCAAAAAAACGCAACGGAGAAAAATTTTGGTCAAATTCAAAATATTTACAGTTTTTTCATTTTTAACCCAATTTTGATGATTTTTTAGCGCACTGATTAAAAATTTATAAATTTCAATTTAGTATAATGAGTTTTTTATTACCGTCCAATCACTCAAGGCAACAAATTAGTGACCCGAAAATCGCATTACATACATATAGTCGGTTCGCTATATTTACGCGGGTTTCGGATTAAAAATTTTATTGTAAGTACCCAGTTTTAATTACCTGCTCTTTGGGGAAATATCAACTGGTCAAATGAAATGAAAAATAATCCATAACTTTTTTTAATTAAATAATAATGGAAAATCTTTTATATAATTGACAGTATAATAAGGAGAATTACTTCATTAATGGAGTCTAATGTGGCTAATATAAACCTAATAATAATTTTATATTACACTTCACACAGAAAATATGGTCTATGTATATTTGTTCCATGGAGAGAATTTCTAATGAAAAATAAAAAAAATTTAACTTGCCAACAAAAATGAAAATCAGTCATTATCATCAAAAATATCATAATCGTCATCATCATCACTGTCATCACCATTAATTGTTATTATGATTGGACTTATTTCGTTTATTTTATTTTCACGAGTCCACCAATCTTCTATTAGTTTCTCGCACTTGAATATACAGTTGCACCACACTTCTGGAGTTACAATTGAAAGTGCCTTTCGCCAAGTTTCCCGAACTGCGTCGTCGCTATAACCGTTAGGCCCAATATGGTTGTCATAATATTGTTTTGCTATTCCCCATATATATTCGATGGGATTAAACTGGCAATGATACGGTGGCAGACGTAAAACTTGATGACCGTAACTTTCAATAATCTGATCCACAACAAAGGTTTTTGGTTTTGCGTGGATATTTGCCAAGCGTAATAATTCTGATTTTAAAATATGTTGTGTAAATGGTATATGTTCCTTTGTCAACCATTCTTTAATTTTATTAACAGTCCAAGAATTCGTTGGACTTTTGTTTAATACTTCAGAATGGTAAGGTGCATTGTCTAAAATAATTACGCTGGGCTCACTTAACCTGGGAGAAGTTTTTCATGTAACCATTTTACAAACATTTCTGTGTTCATATTATCGTGATAGTCACTTGATTTTGATTTAGATGAAAATATTAAATCAGCACCTTCTATAAAACCCGATTTTCCTCCTGCATGTAAAATTATGTGTCGCTTCCCTTCTCCATCAGTAGTATGTTTGATAGACTTTACGTTATCATCTTGCCATATTCTCTTTGTTGCACCCCTAGAAAATATCCATGTTTCGTCTAAATATATAAAATATGCCCTTTCTTCTTTTAATTTAGAATATTTTCTTAGAAAGTTAATTCTTTTATGCACAACAGAACTTCTTTCACAAAGGGCTTTTCTGTTATCCTCTTTTTGAAATTTGAAACCCAAATTATGTATCACTTGCGATAGACTTGTTCTGCCAATTTCGTCAAATTTTCTATCTTTTAATTCCGAGAGAATTGTATTTAAGGTCACATGTTCCTTGTTGGCTCGCATTCGATAAATGGTATCACGAATTTCAAATTTTTTCTATCTGGAATATCTTTCGTTTTCAATGATAGGGCGAGATCTTCTTTCGGCCGTTCATTATTGCGATTTTATAATACTCCTCTTAGTTTGGTTTCACTAATTCCTAGAGCATCACATACGCGTTCTTGAACAGACATTATCGATTTTAAAGGACCGCCATTTTCTTTTTCATCCGTAAAATACTTATGTATACTACAAATTAGACTATCTACATCTAACACACGTCTAGGCATTTTTAAATATTTCCACCAAACATACAATGTCAACACTGGCAAAGAATCAATTCAACTGCCAATATTGTAACAAATTTATACCTACCCTAATGTTATTTTAATGTATTTTAAAATATGGACCGTTAATGCAGTTTTTACCTAATTTTCTGGGAAGTCGTTTACTGCAACTGGTTATCAATGATTCATTAGCTTAATCTTGTTAATCCGAAACCCGCGTAAAATAGCGAACCGACTATACATACAATTATCAAAATAATTTTTTATATTTTTTTTATTCCGGATTGATCCGGATAATCCCGATATCCGGATGAACGAAGTCCGAAATAACGAAGTTGTATTGTACATGTAGATTTCTAATAATTTGAGGCGATATCTAATGTACTACTAAATATAATGTTTTTTACAGATGTATTTTATTGGTTTTAGGTGTGGTCGATAAAATCTTTCAGCTACCATACTCTACCCGTTCAGTCGAGTAACCTACTGCGCCTACTTAGTCCATCCCATAGCGATCAGAGCTATGGTGATGTGTATGGATGGACCTCTACATCTCGGCAGTATAATCACCATAATCATTTACCTCGGACAAATGATGCTCTCGTATATCCTATCGTTCTTCGTCTCAGTTGCTTTTGAAGCGCCACTTGTCTCAATGTTGAGGATTATTACCAAAGTTGTAACAATGAGGAAGCCTTTACCTATTAATAGCAATAACAACAATAACAATAATATGAACGTAGTGTCTCAATAAAGTAGGTTAGATAATAGTATGAATATTTGTATATAATTTATTTTTGTACTGTAATGTGTAAGTAGTATGTAAGGGTTACCTTTATTTTTGTAGTTCTCTAGTGTAATTTAAAAGAAAATATTATGAAGAATGATTATATATTTTAGAAGTTCAGTACAAACTATTTTCTAAATAGCAAAATTCGCTTTTTCACTTAATTATTAACAGATCTATGGTATTTGCCCGTTACTTTATAAAAATTCATATTCAAGAATCCAATAATAACTCACAAGAGGTGCCGCGTCCTTCTGTGTGTGTGGCCGTAAAAATATTCAAATTTCTAAAACTGTCGATTTTAACCAAACTTACTGTGCAGGATGATATAAAATAACTAATATGAAACGAATTTGGACCGCAGCAGTGAATCCCCAACAGTTTATTTGCATTATGTATATTTAAATATAATGTAATTAATTATTTTGTTTAGCGTAACACCACAGATGATCATAAATAACGTCATCTGGTTATCACCTATTAATTATCTACAAAGTTTTGTAATAACTTTGATACTGCGGTTTTAACAAATTGATTCTTATTAATAATTTATTTATATACCTATTATTTAAATAGTCCAATTCATCGTTAAGTTAAACAGTTTATTTTTATGAGATTACAAGCATAAAATAAAATATTTACTTACCACTAGCGCCATCTGTTAGCAGATCTAGAAAGTTTTATTGTAACATTGTCACTACCACAAACCATGTATGGTTTGTGGTCACTACGGTTTTGAAAAATTCATTTCAATCAAAAGTTTATTAATATTTTATTAAAATAATACAATAAAATTCACATCAGGAATAGTGTAGGAATAGGAATAGTGAATTAACTTTAACGAGAGTACAAGCTGAATATAGCCGCAAATGTCAATCATGAAAAAAATTTTCGGTTTGGCAATGTTGGCATGTTTTTATAATTCAACCGCTTCAAATATAAAGATAGAAAGCATTAGAAAAGTACATTTTGATTATATATTGTGTTATGAATACTGCAATTTTTAATTTATACGAAAATAAAACAAGAACCAGTAAATATTTGTTGCTTTGGAGATTAATTGCAGTTAATTATTAGAATTTTTTTAGCAATTGCCCTTTGATAGATTAACGGATAGATTTGCAATCGTCAAAATACCAGTTGCAAGATTGCAATAGATGTTTGCAATTAATCTCGAAAGAGACAAATATTTACTCATTATTGTTTTATATAAATTAGAAATTGCATAATTCATAACATAATATACTCAAAATGTACTGTCTTAATAGTTTTCGTTATATAGAATATACATATTTTGTTATATGGTTGACATTTGCGGCTAAATTCAGATAATAAGAAGATAAGATATTGCGCATGTTTTTGTGACGTCATTGGAGAGTTGCACGTTCGAAATGTCAGTTTTTTGTATGTGTCAATAAATAATCTTTAATAAATAGTTTTTAGATATCCTTCTGTGTACAATTATTGTAATTATTGAACTTCTTAATTTATTTTCGTCTAGTAATTTCATCACAGAATGCATACAAATCACATTTAACTTTAACAAGAATTCAAATTCTACTCTCCAATGACGGCATGCACGAACACGACCGATTTTGGGCTACGGGAAGATCCTATCTTGTTATTCATAGTATCATGAGTTTATTTATGTTAGTTATACCACAGAATAATAAACATACAGAATACCCCACTCTCACGGAAAATTAAGTACGCGCATCTCCTCCGCGCAGACGTTCCGCCATGTTTTAGGAGGATTTTAAAGAAATTTGTGGTGTGCATGGAAAAATTAACCAGGTTTATTTGACTTACGGCAATCATAGACATACTATACAATTATATTAACATTGTTAAATATATAACATAAAATATAATATAATTAAACATAAATGTAAACAATTGCATAACCTCACAAATCATATGTCTGTGTCCTCCTCAAACATTGGCGCGCGTGCTGAAAAACTTCAAAGGCGGCATCTGAGAGTGTCCCTTCTGATTGTTTATTATTCTGTGGTTATACCTAAATAATCAAACTAAATATAGGCACTATCACTTATATAGGCACTAGACACTTATCAGATCTATAAAGTTTTCTTTTAACTTTGTTACCGCGTTGTTTCCAAGTTATACATTTTTTTCTTATTGATAGCCGAGTACACATAAAGCATTGTAAATACGCTTTTCTAGTGCTTTATTTCACCTATTCATCATTCATTCCGTACTGAAACAGACCTCCAGTGCTAGTATATAAAAAAAAACATAAAACACAATGCTAATTTGAACATAAAACTTGACATGCTTCGCTGAAACATTAACTTCCTCAGAAAAATAATAATTTTAATCTAATTACTTTTGTGTGCAAAAAGTTTGTACCTATACCTAATAGAAAATTTTATTATTTTTTACCTAACTAAATTACCGTTAGACAAGAAGTTACTTTTATTATTTCTAAAGGGAATTTAGTTATCATTTTTCATTTTATTTTTAACGATTTTGAGTATTTTAAGTAGGTGTAAAATGATCTGTATGGTTTGTTATGTAATATTAGAATTTGTATGAGCCTGGATGAGAGTATTGTTAGATAAACAAAAAGACTAGATATTAAATAAATATTTAAACATTGTGATGTAAGATATGTTTTAAATATAACTTGAAAAATATATTTCTATTATTAGTTTTCCTACCATGAAAAACAAATATGTATCTTGTACTTAATATATTTATATAGGTATCTAAGAAAAAGACCGTGATGAGGTAAAAACAGTCAGAAACGTAGAAAAATATTAAGAACTATAGATAATTGCGAATATGAAGTAAACAATTACACCAAATAAGTCATGTTAAAAGGTTGGATGATAGCGGAAGTTATGAAAGTTCAAAATAAACAAATACATCAAAATGGGAACAAAGGGAAGTGAAATAATAATAAGTGAGATATCAAGTACAAAAAGCAAATAGACTGACAGGGTACTTTAATAACACTGTATGGCGAAACCAAAACATGCATCAAAGACCATCAAGTCTTGAGCTATGCTGATGACTTTGCTATAGGTACTAGTAAAAGGCAAGTTTAACACAATAGAATATGTAACAGGCCTTAAATGTAGTACTAATTTCGACCAACGAGGTAAGATTATTTATAAGTTCTCAAAAGACCAAAATAATAACCTTCAGAGGAAGTTTAACAGATAATAAGGTTCCAGAGAAAAAATATTTTCGCCTAGAAGTCACCAATATATTTTTACCCTGGAATATCTTTGCAACTATGGGCCGCAGGAGTGTGACGTCACTATTACTTTCCAAACAAAAGTTTAAAATGTCTAATCTCAAGAGTTTTTAATTTCTATAAAGTTAACATTTTGCTTCCTCTGCTGCTTTTTCTTGTAAGCATAGTGTTTTTTTACGATAATAACAACATAATTCAGAGTTCTATTTCTATGAAATTAGTTTAAAAGTTTAAAATAAAGAAATTTTAACCTTACTTTATTGATACATGCATTTTTATTGCTATTAGCATAAAATAAAGTGCTTTATTATTTACACAACCATGTAAAAAATTGTAGTGTAGTAAACTATTGGAATACTTAAATATTGCAAAAAGCGAAAAGATTCTATAAATAAATAAATGAAAAAATAACCAAAAATACAAATTATCCACACTAAAAAAGGTTTTGTTTGGAAAGTGAAACTGACAGATCGCCAATAAAATCTACGTCATCACTCCTGTGGTCCATTGTTTGAGTACCTTCAAGCATGCCTACTATATCCTTGACAGACAAAAATGGACTCTACCATGATAATTCAAGGTTTTACTGTTCTGATGATATATTCATCTCTGAATTTTAACTTGGGATCGTCTCGAAAAGCAGATATTAAAATAATGGTCGCAAATAGTCGCCACTTCTGTCGATTCCTGGCATACTTCTCTCCATCTTCTGAAGTCTTAGAATCTGTAGGTCTTCTTCCACATCATTAATCCATCTCGTTCGTGGCCGTCCTCTACTTCATTGTGCCCCCTGGTTTTGAAAATGTTAATCTCTTCGTGTATTCGTGATCTAACATTCTAGCAATGTGTACAGCCATCTAAATTTCTGCCCTTTAAGGGATTTCACAATATCTGGATGGGTGTATAACTGATATAGTTCAAAGTTGTACATTCGACGCCATAACACATTTTCATTTACGGCCCCAAAAAATCTTTCTCTCAAAAATACCAAAAAGTCTTTCATAATTTTGAGATAAGGTCCACGTATCAGCCCCATGTATCAAACCGGTCTTATTAAGGTCTTGTATATATTGAGCTTTACTGCACGTTTTATATTTTTTAAACGTTTCTGGAGACCGTGAACAGTTCTGCTCGCTATTGCTATGCATCTTTTTATTTTGTCGCTTGTCATGTTTGTTGCGGTTTACTAGCGATCCAGATATGTGAATTTTTTTGACTTGCTCAAAAATATGGTTGTTAATTTGAATTCTCTGTTCGATATTTTAGAGGTTTTTAGAAACCAACTTCCAACATATATTTGGTTTTTTCCTAAACATGTTTTGCCCGTGTATTTGCCCATAGTTGCTTAATGTCTTTTTCTTCTTCTAACCTAACATCTAATAAGTTAGAGCAGTGTCTTGCACCGATGATTATATGATCTATTTGGTTAATTGTTTAATTATCAGGAGATTTCCAAGTTTCCTTATGTATATTTTCATGGGGAAATCCGTGTCCCAATTCTTGTCTCCACAGAATTCAAATTTGATCTATTAAAAGTCAACACCCACTATACTTACAGAAAAAAGGGAAGGTGAAATAAAACTCATTATTTTTACAATAAAATATAAATATCTATTTTATTAGCCGAATATATATTAGAACAAACATAAAAAACACTCATTTATTCATTGCTTTCAAATGCAATTTCCGTAATAGCTTCCACATAGAAAGGTCCTTCCTTAACATATTTCTGTAGCCTTTTTAAAGTAAATTCATCAAAAATGATACTGCTAGACAAAAGCTTAATGATTTCGTATTTATTTCTTTACACTCTTTAATCACTTCAATGTTTCTATCCAAAAGGTATTCAACAAGCCCTAAAAAATGACACAAGTATATATATACATAAAGTAATTACTATTTAAATGGGAATAAACCACAATTAAAGGTTAAAGTAAGTTTATTGACGTTTTAATTTCCCTTCGAAAATTAAAACATCAATAAACTTACTTTAACCTTTAATTGTGGCGCATTCCCATGTAAATAGTACCTAATTACTTTAAAATGTCACAAGAAAATAGCTTCAGAACAATATATACATAAATTTCCTACCCAGCTTTCATTACCAATGCAGGAATTAATTTTTACCTATTTACCTGGACTATTTTTTATTTCCTCTTGTCCCCACTGTTGTGATGCCATGGTTTGTATAATTCCCAGACCAGCTAACTTTATTTCAGAGAAAGGATTTTTAGCATATTTCACAATAACATCCATTGGCTGGTCAGTCAGTAGAGAAAACCACTTCATTGTTATCTGGCTCACAATAGGTTGGGGGCCAGATGCTGACAAAAGATTTTCTATGCATTTCAAGGCTCTAAGCTTTATGTCAGTTGGAAATGAGGTTAACAATTTCATGATGGTTTTTAGAGCATACGTAATTTTGTTTCCTAAAAAGCAATTCTATCAATACAATAACAATAAAGAATATGTAAGTATACACAAGAAGTAGTACTGCTTTCGAAGCATCGTTTAAGTTTACTGAATCTTTTTTTTTGTATTCTTGTCCAGTATTAAATTAACTTTATAGCCTTTATCGTTTCTAATACCTTGTCATTGTTAGAAACAAAAATAATTGCAATAAAACTGTTATCATTTAAAATCATTGGCTCATTTGACCTTACCTGTAGATTTTAAAGCACATTTTCCTTCAGTCGTTACTCCTATAATACCTAGTGTATCTAATGTAATGCCTACTATCGTTAGATCACCACTTTCAATATTGGCAAATAGTCTGTCAAATATTTTAGGGTATTTTAGTAGCAATTCAGTGGGCTTCCAGTGAGCCATGTGTCCAAAAAATTTTAAAATACCTAAAATTAAAAAAAAATGTATTATACACCAAACAAAACTATGTAAAAGTAATTGTTATTAACTATTGTGGATATAGGCGAAGCAACGAAGCTGTAAAAAGTCTAAAACTGACCAAATTCTTGCAGTAGGATGGATCTCAATGAAAATTTTTGCATTTGATTTGTATGAGTGTCAGGAAATTTTGTGAACGATGAGCGAATGATATGGAAATGAAAACTACATTATTGCATAAGGAAAATGCATTTTCCAAAGTGCAGTTTAAGGTCATAAAAAATGATAGATTTCTAATTCGGAACTAATTCATGGAATGGCAGAACGAATGCAAATGGTACCAGGACACCTGATTTTATTTTAATATATAATATTTTAATAAATATTTCTATTATCTTCATAATACAGAAAAACAAAATAAAAAATTTTTTTTTGTTGGTAAGAATTGTGTAACCTTTGTGGATAAATAAATTCTATCTATCTATCTATCTAAACAGTGACATATGACATAATATAACATATACGTTAATATATATTAAACAGAGATGGTAGTACTAGTTTTTGTGGATAGATGGCGCTGGGTATTTTATAGCAGACAGGCCTTACAGAATAAATAAATTACAATATTGATAACTACAAGGAAATAAACTAAAGTTTATTAATTCTAGTATACCTGGTTCACAAAACTTCACAGTCATTTGATCTTCATCATCTTCAACTAATGCAAAAAGTTTGCTTAAAACTCCATTTTGTTCTAAATAATTGTAACCATGTATATTCAACCCAAGCTGAGTAAGAAGTTCCACAATATTCATTTTCAGTAACACATCATTATTGTCCAGTTCTTCTAAAATTTTAGATACAATGCCTGTCGATTTTAGTAACTCCAAATTCGCCTCTGATTCCTTAGAAATATTGACAACTATCTAAAAATAATATTGTTAAAGCCCATTCCCATAGAAATTTACATATTAATCAGCTAAAATATTTTATCTATTTGTTGATGGAAATACCCAATTCAAATGATGTTAACTTGGAACAAAAATGAATGTTTGCAAAGTAAGATGGATTAGCAGTGGATCAGTCGTTAACAACTGTTTTTGCAAAGGCAGAAATAAAGCAATTCCAATATCTGCGCCGATACTTAAAGAAAAAGGACTTGAGGCAGCAAGCAGTTTAAAGACAGAAAATGAAAAATGGGCGGGAAAGAAGGCTGCAAAACAATGTTTGACGTGAATATAAAAGGTTCAAAAATAAATCCATGGTTCAAAACAAGACTATTCATGGGCACTATTTGTGCCCATCTACATGCATGGGCACAAAGGATGAATAAAAAATATATTTTATGTTTACCATAATACAATAAACCAATTGGCTGCAGTATAACCAATTTATAACAGATGGCATCCAAAACAACTATTGCTGTAGAATAAAAATGCAAGACATGTGAATTACTGCTATTGTTAGACCAGGTTAAAATATAGGTTGAATATTTTCAAAAGCAATTCTTGACCAATTTTCCAAATTGTATAAAACAAAACTATATATTTATATTGTTTGACATCAACTCTTATTTTAATACAGTCCTTTTTTCATGTTTTTGTGGTATATGCATATTAAAAACTACTGATTTAATCCCAAACAATGTATTAGTGTTTATTATCACTTGTTTATATTAATATTATAATGACTTCATAAAACAAAACTTGAATATAAGAATCTGGTTAATCTGAGTTGATAACAATGTTAACATACCAATAATATAGAAAATATTGACTGACAACTTTGCATGTCTATAATCCTTTTTATATACTCAAATACTTGCTGTAAAAGCCTATACTTAGATCCAAATATCTTTTTAATAAAGTTAAAATGGATTACCTCATATACTCTCAGCCTTGCAAGTTCATTTTATACACATTATTTCTTGTATCTCCTTAACAATATCACGAGAAACCAAAACTTTTAAGCCTAAATCTGAAATACCAACATCCGAAACAATTTTTGCAGCTTCTTGAGCAACTGCTAGTTCACTGTCTCCAACACATTGGATTACACTACTTAACAAGGAAATTCTTCGACACACATTTATAAGACCTTCTTCTTTTGATACGTTTCTGTGTATTTCATTGAGAGCCATTATTTTTACGCCTGGGTAAGGATGGTGTAAAGCTCTTTCTAATGGTACATCATATTTATTTGTGCTCTCTCCAATGCTTAAGTTGTTCATAAACAAACTAAGGACTTCGCATGCTAGATCAACTTCTTCTCTGTAAAAAAAGGTAAAATAAATATGAATTAATGACTATTTTATAATTACTTACGTATTGGAATTATTTAAACAGTCAAAGACCAGAGGTATGTTAAAACTATTGGCAACTTTAGAAGCTTCCGACTGTGGAATTGATATTAAATGATCCTTAATTTCATTTAAAACAGAAACCCTCTGTTCTTCTTGTAAAAGTTTTGATTGCTTTTCTGCTGACCAATCTTCCCGGGATGCCATTTTCAAATGATTTGTTGTTTTTTGTCTGACAAATATCAATTTCTATAATACGAAGTTAGCCACATTTTTAGCTGTCTTCTCTTTTTATCTTTACTTCTACTTCTTTTGCCGGCTACTAATTATATTGGTATTCAGCCAATATAAATATTAAATACAAATAATACAGAAACCAAAATTAATTACTTAATCAAATTAGAATAATTAACATACTAATGAAGAATCAAAATAGTTTCGTTTTTTCTGATTATCGATATTAATAATTTAAAAATAGAACAAAACACGAGAAGTTACAACAAATAATTAGGAATAACGCTGGGCACATAACGGTTTCTTAATATTTTTCTGAAGCTATTTTCTTGTGGCGTTTTAAATTAGTTACTATTTAAACTGGGAATAAGCCACAATTAAAGATAAAAATACGTTATTAACGTTTCAATTTCCACTTCGAAATCGTTCTCAAAATACAAACAGTAATAATTAATTAGGAATAAAACAAAAAAAGCTAGAGACATGGCTTAGAGAAAAATGTCGTTAAATAGAATAAATATTGCTGGGAATGTTGGAATGTAATAAATATAACATTATTTATAGCATATGTGTAGTAGCGAACATTTATATATTATTTATGGAATTTGTATGCCTGTGCCAGTGAAGTTAAGTTGACAAGGATGTCAGATCTGTGTAAGACCCATCGAGCAATAAGACAAAAAGAGGAATCTAATCGTTATAAAAGGAGACCAAAAAAGTGGCTCTCTGATGGCGGACACTAACCGGAAATGCAAAGGCGCCAAATTTAAATTTTCCGACACTTATCAACAGTAGCTATATAATATTTTTCAGAATGTGTCTTAGACAGAAAGTTTTAATTAATTATTAATGATAAGAGTCTAAAAATGCGACACAATTGTTAAAAAACTTCAATATAAATAAGATATTTCATGTGACATTTGGGACAAACAATAACAAACCCAACTAAATTTGATTCAAACAAGGAGAGAGACTCTCTTCCTTGTTTAAGTGGCCTCTTCAAGATGCACTTCCTGTCAACAATATGTTTACCCCTTCTAACCTTTACATTCCCCTTTTGTTTATTGTCATGGTAGACCACAGAATAATAAAATATGTAAGACTTCAAGCCCTTCTTCTTACTCCATTGACTAATTGTTACAATTATTACATCTATTGAGGAGATTATGAATTATTACATCAAATAAAATTTTTTTTTACATTTAACAATGTCTGGGAACAATACTATGGGAAAATTTAAACAATGTAGAAATAGTGTAGGTATATATTTATAAACTTAGTTTCCACCAAACGGGTAATTTTGTAGTTGATATTTCTTCATTTCTTGATGAGCCTCTGTCACATTTTTTGATATGTGGCCAATATAAGGAGGCCAGTTAAGTTGTTCGTTGTCGATGGTTTGTCCCTCTGGACATTGCAAACATTGACAAAACTCGTGCAGCTTTTTCTGAAGAATTTTCATTTTCTTTTTTTAAGAATGTTCGTTCTTCAATAATCGAGTACCTTAAACAAGATAAAAATATACAATTTTGGAACGTAAGCACACAATGACAATACAAAAGAAGAACTATTATATATAAAGAATAGCAATTTTGGAAAAAGTTATTGGCGACAAAAAAGCGCCAAAGACAAAGAGGAAAATAAGAAATATAATATAATAAAAACGGAACATAACCTTGAAAGTAATGACCTAAGAGAAGCATAAAAGTATTTTCTAAATAGTTTATGTATAACTGATGCAGATCAAATTACCAGCGAACCAACAGACGTAAAATCAGTAAAATTATCAAAACACTTTAAAAAATTAATGGACCACAGGAGTGATGACGTAGATTTTATTGACATCTGTCAGTTTCACTTTCCAAACAAACCTTGTTTAGTGTGGGTAATTGTATTTTTCGTTCTTTTTTTCATTTATTTTATAGAATCTTTCGCTTTTTGAAATATTAAGTATTCTAATAGTTACTACAACAATTTTACAAGGTTGTGTAAATAATAAAGCACATTGTTTTATGCTAATAGCAATAAAATGCATGTATCAATAAAGTAAGGTTAGAATTTCTTTAATTTAAACTTTTAAACTATATTTCATAGAAATAGAACTCTGAATTATGATGGTATTATCGTAAGAAACACTATGCTTACAAGAAAAAGTAGCAGAGGAAGCAAAATGTTAACTCTAAAGAAATTAAAAAGTCTTGAGATTGGACATATCAACTTTTGTTTGGAAAGTAATAATGTCAATGTGACAGTCGTGTCACGTCACACTCCTGCGGTCCATTCTTACGCGAAAAGTTGATACAGACAACAGAGATAAACGCTACTCGTTCGTACGTTAACTTTGTTAGGTTGGTTGTCTAATTTAGGGTGTCGCTAAAACGAAAATTAGTTTCTCAAATCAGTTTTTTTTTGTAAGAGCTTTTGTATCATTGTTAGTTCAAGATGGACGTCAGATAATAATAATACGAAGAATTTGTATAAGTGTTCGATATTTATAAAATATGAAGTCAAAATAAAGTGTTTATTAAAATACTCCAGTGAGACCAATTCTTTTAGTTTTTATGTATCATATTATACTTATCGTAAATATGAGTGTTTCAATATGGCAATGGCATAATTAATACTGTTTATTTTAAAAAAATGCTTTTTTTAAAGAAGCATTACAAATTTCATACGATGATGACATAGAAGTGGACGAAATCTACATTATTGAGCCTCCAGAGAGTGAGCTGATAGATGAGGATTCAGGTGAGGAAGATGGTGGTGGACTTGTCGATAATTTGTAAAAAAATCAAGGCGCACAGGCCGAGATTGTTCTTTTTAGCAAGAATGACACAGAAGACGAGCGAATGGGGATCAAAGATGGTCCGATATGAGGAGATATATTCTGAAAGTTTTGGGGATGAAGAAAATTTAAACTGATACGACAAAAGTCATTTGACTAGGCTCTTCTAATATGGATGGATTATGTAGCTCACCACCACCCCACCCCTAAGGAACCCATTATCCACATCTGAGTAAATAATAACAACATAAAAGTATAATACCGTACCTAGAAGCTTCCGCTTGGCCAACTCTCTGCCAGAAGAGATCCAGTATTTCAATATTTTCATCCTCGGGACTTAAATTCGTTCTTTCTGGTCTCAAATAGTTAACAGGGAAATGGCCGGATCTTTTCTTCTTGGGTTTCCAATTTTCTGCAAACTGCTGCAACATGAAGAATATGTTCTCCCTTTTCTTTTATTTTTTGTAGAGCTGACATTGTTTCATTGTGACTAACGGTCAGAATCTCCATCTTACTAGCGTCTATCTAATGACGAAATAAAAAATTGTTAATGTAATGTATATTGTATATAGTAATTGGATATAGTACTTTTTAAAGGTGGGCTAAATATCACTACCCTGTGATTAGAAAATAACAATCATGACCTGTGATACGAACAAAATACTGTGATGGATTTGTCTTAGTCCCTTCTATTCTGTAGTCTTATCGACAAAAAAAAAGATATTCACGTTCTCGTCTCAGTCGCAAAGTTGTGAAATGAGAGACGTGTAAGAGGATAACAAGGAACCAGATAGAGGTAGTCGACGGTATTGTGAAGTATCTTTTCTAATGGGAAATGCAAAGGCAAAATAATATTATATCGTCTTTGGAGGAATATGAACATCGCTAGTTTAGGGTAATATTAGTACGTAAACAAATATTATTTGAAGAAAAATGGAAAGGATATTTAGAGTTTTAGTTTACTGAACTTTAAAATAAAGTACAATGAGCTTTGTCAAGTGGAAAGTGAGGTCTTGAAAGTATATGCGAAGAAGAGTTAATCAGTACGATGGAGGCAAAGGATAAATACTGATAAAGTGCGAGGTACTTTGAACTCAAGTAAAAATATGATGACAGATCAGTTTCAGTTAGTAAGAGTCATCAAGTGTAAATTTAAATTACCTCCAATCGAGTTGAAGAAATTTAATGGAGACTCAGACTTGTCGTTGGTCCTTTTGTTTGACTTTTGGGAATGCGGTAAACGGCAAACAAAATACGGCTGTGGAAAGTCACCGTTAAATAAGTGAGTAAGTAAGTAACAAAAGAATTAAGATAATATTTGCCCAAAACAATAGAAGAAGTTTTTTAAAACATTATCGATTAGATAATCTTTGCTCGCACCTGCTGATCTTTTTGAAGCTGCATTTTCAATACGTTGAATGCATTGTGGAAATATTGATATTCAGTTTCCAAGTCTTTTAGTCTTCTACCCAATAGTTTTTCACAGTCTATTAAATCCTGTTTTAATCTCTTAATATAATCGTACATTTTTCTAATCTTTTCTAGCTGAAAGCTGAGTAATTCTTGAAGCGCATCATCTTGAGCCCTAAAACACAATTCAAGATAAAATATAAAACAAATAAGGAACATGGACCTGTTGTGCATATATTATACACTTAGGTATATACAGGATGAGTCTTTAGTGCGACATTGGTGCACTAACTTATTTAGAATATTGTATACAGGGTGAACTACAAAATATTTTTTAAATTTATCAACCATGTATTTTATTTTTTAGAAATTATATTTATGATACTTTTTTTATTTTATGTATCTTTTCTATACCTAACTCATTATTTTTCGAGATATTTTTAGTTTTCTTCAAATTTCGGGCATATATACAATTTTTGTAAATAGAAATTAGATTGAGTATTGAGTGATACGAGTTCTCTCTGTACTCATTGACAATAATAACAAAATTATTCTACAATAAGCACGAAATAAGAAAAGAATGGCAGCTGTAGTTTGTTCCAACACAACGAAAAACCGTCACGTAACGGTTACGCTCCTGCGCACTAAACAAAATACTTCCAACAAAAATATGATCGTTCATCTCATCGTCCTTAACCGTTCCAACAAAATTGTGATCGCCCAGTGACGGTTTCGTGACGATAATTTCAGTAATCTGGCAAATGCATGTACTGGTATGGGATGACTTGCGCACTAGGATTTTATTCTACTTCTTTAAATTTGTTTTGCCTATTCGCTCCGTGCGTGACTGACACGACACCTACCGCCTTTTTCTGACAATTTTGGAGTCCCAATTTTCAGGTTAAACATATGACATATGTTTGACATGTTAAATACATGCGAAATTGACAATTATTAATAAATTAGTTTTTTTAACTATATTTTTTCAGTTTATGTACAAAATAAATGTAGTATTAAAAACTGGGTTTCTCAAAATTCATCATAATATATCTTTTCAACTCCAAACGTAAGAGAAAGGGAAAAATCTAGTACTGACAAATCAAGTTTTTCACGCAAAAGAGCATATAATTAAAAACAATAATAGTAAAAGTTATGATATAAAAGCTAAAGTCATCTGCAGTTAGCTTGAAGCCTTATGAAATATCATTCAAGGTAAATTATTTAAATTTTTCCTATTTCAATTGCGTAAAAATGAAATTATGTGATATTTACTTTTTCATATTAATAGCAGGAATTTATCTTTTTCTTTTCTCTAATTTATATGTAATCTTTGGGAACCTATAAAAACTACACTCACTTGTTTTTTTTGCTATTATTAAGCACAATCAATACAGCACATGCATTTGCACACATTTTTGATAAAATTTATAATGGCGTAAAAATCTTTTGACAATATTCCAATTTTTGTCATATTTCGCCGCTATGCACCTGCGTTGTTTTCAATGTACCCCAACCATGTCACGCACCGGAGCGAATATTAAGTTCTAGATTTTATATTAAAACTGTAAAATTTGTTCAGAAAAAAAGAAGAGTTAGGTTAATTATTTATCAGGTGCCTATGATAGACTATGGTTATTTATTTTATATATTTGTTTTCCCATAATTTATAAATTTTTTAAAAAATATTGACTGACGACGAAGGAATTAAGTAGATTTTTCTGATTATTATAGTATGTGAAGGATGATTTGGAGCTGATTAGCCGAACCTAGGGTGAAAAACCGAATTATTTAGGTAGAGTTGTCCACCAAATTATGTTCAGTTTGTCAGAAAATCGTTCCAACATCAGTTTCCAAATTACCGTCATCAGACGATACAAATGATGAACATGCGCGTTAAAAACGGTACAAGTAGTTTCGTGACGGTTTTTCGACAGTACAAAAATTGCGTGTTGGAACAAACCTATTAGGTTAGGTTAGGTTAGGTTTAATACCAGGGGTCTCGTCTAATCGACAAGACGAATCCCCAAGCTGAGGGCTGAGTCTCAATAGATCGCAGCGTGGAAACTGCTCTACCAGGTACAACACCCTGCCAGGTACGTAAGTCGTCTACAGACAATTCCGAGTTCCAACATCGAAAAGATTATAATACCCATGTTCGTCCGTCTAAAGATCTGGTCTACTGGCAAGGATCGATCCCACCGTAAACCGATAATCTCAACGGAAATAAGGGCTCGTGCGACAATCGTAGCGAACTACGATTGCCTAGTAAAGTCACATTGTTTTGAGCCTTTCGACTCTCGGAACTCCAAGAGATATCGTTGCCACCTTTGACTAGAAAGGATACGGCCTTAGAGGCGTTCAGGCATAATCCCACGGATGGTAGCTTCGCACCATTACCCGCTCGAGTAAGTGCGTCAACCAAATGTCCGAACCTGCGGTTCCTCTCGTACTGAGCAGGATTACTATCGCAACGACGAGTCATCAGTAGGGTAAAACTAACCTGTCTCACGACGGTCTAAACCCAGCTCACGTTCCCCATCGAAGAATCAAAAAGTGACGTCGCTATGAACGCTTGGCCGCCACAAGCCAGTTATCTCTGTGGTAACTTTTCTGACACTCTTCAAAGGTCTCCAAATTCTGCTTGATTATATTCACGAGGTAGGAGAGGAAATGGGCATTAAAATAAACTCAAACAAAGCCAAATTTTTAGTGTTTAGTAGTGACCCACATCCCGATGCAAAGCTTTAATTAAACGGAGTACAAGTTGAGAAAGTTCACAAAATGACATATTTGGGAACTGCGATAACGGACCAACTAGATCCAGACATAAAAATAAAACGTAGAATAGCAATGACTAAAACGACTTTTATAAAAATGAAGTCATTTTTATCAGAAGGTATCAGAAGATATTTTCCATACTAATGATTTCAATTAAACATGATTTAAAAACTAAAATATATTGTTTTACTTTAATATATACAATAAATATCTGTTTATGCATTACTTTTTTTATATACGTCATGGTATTAATTTCATAGAGATTTCGAAATAAAAATGGCCATAGCTTGTTAAATACTGTGTAACCTAGTAATGCGAAACCCAATACTATAAGAACAAGATTTATGAGAAGAATACAGACTTGAAAAAATATAATTTTTTATACATTTTTTATTAATAAGTTTTTTTGGATATCTTGTACCACAATGAAGCGATTTTCAAATGAAACCAAGAGCAAAACTGATATTTATTCATCACATTTATGAAATAGAACTTTAGTCTGGAATAAAAATCAACCTGTTTCAGCATTTTCACAAAATCCAATGAATACTGAAAAATATCCCATTGAACTCTTTTGAGTGACCAACCCTGTATGCACAAAAACTGGAAGAAAAGCATAAAAAATTTACCTGAGTTTATCATATTCCTTTTTACGATCTCGGATTTGAATATAATACTTATTTAAAAAGTCATCAGTTTCTTCTTCAATACCAGAATGAACTGTTTCTAAAATGCCTCGCAGTCTTTGAATGATTTGAGTATTTTTGGTTTCTTCTTCTTCGAGTCTACTAAAGTAGTCAGCGCGGATATTAGCTTTTTGTTCCTTTTTAGCCATCTCCAACATATACAATATTGTTTTCAAATAATTCTCGTCTTCGGTAAATATTTGGGAGAGTTCGTTAACATCAATTTCAGTTTCTTTCTCGAGTTTGGTTATCTTAAAAAAGTGGATGATATTATTCATATTAGAACAGAAGAGAAAGTGTCGGTATTTGGAAATTTAGCTTCATTGAACGGCATCAGAATTCAGAAGGCAACGAGAAACCACTTCATTAAAGGTCCCTGATCTCTAGTATAGCTATCATGGCAAACACAACTAAAGTGGAAGTAGCTACTAATCATGGAATATAGAAGCTAATATTCGGCAAGGTAAGGTTCGTAATCCAGAGAAATCCCTGTGACAAAACTGGAAAAGTATCTCTAAAAACTTCAAAGTTGATTATCAAAATATGTACCTTGGAATGTGAAGACAATGTATCAGGCTGGAAAACGTCATAACACCATTCAAAAATGACCAGCATTTTTTTGCTGGTCATTTTTAAGAGCAGCAGATTGCAAAGTACAGATTGCGACTATGATGGTCGCCAACATCCGAAACGGAAAAAGCACTACAAGAAGAAGAAACTTCATTAAAAAGCAGAATTTTACATAATTGTGTAAGTGCAAATGAACTACGTATTAAATCGTGGTATGCAACGATTATTCCATAATTTTACTCACCTCTTTATTATAGTCTCTCTGTAGTTCCTCCATTCGCTCTTTATACATATCTAACAACTTATCAATATGTTCTATATGATTGTTGCAGTTCATAGTATACTGTTCTTCGGCTTGTTTTAGTTCGTCCATCAACAACGATATGGCAAAATCTTTGTTATCAATGACCAGTTCAAAGTTGTGCCAGGCAAATTCTAATTCGTCTCTTATGTGGGGAAGTTCTATACCTATTAATAACTGCCTCCATTCTTTTTCGTGTTTTCGAAGAGTAATGTCGCTCAGTTTTAGTTCTCTAAAATAATAAGGCATTAAAAAACAATACATAGTATTTTTTTAACAATATACTCAGGTGACCCAAAAGTGAAAAAATATTATACATAAGAGTAACAGCAAACCGAACAAGTTCCATAATAAGTGTCTCAATGCACATCAGAAAACATTGATGACTTGACAAAACAGTCGTTCTCTGAAACATTAGAAGAAAACGCCGAGAAAATCTGTCAAAAACTACCGAGCAATTAATTTAGTGAATGTAACATATAAAGTAATGAACGGTATAATTAGAGACAGACTAATAATAATAATAAATATGGAAGTAGAACAAGAATACAACAACCTCAAAACGATAATAAAAAAATGCTAATGAAGTATTAAGAACAAAGAACAACGACAAAAAAACATCATGAACTAATATGGATGACAGAAAATATAAAAGAAATAATACAAGAAAAAGACAAAATATATGAAATGGCTAAATAAAGAAATGGCTAAAATAAAACAAATAAAACATCTAGAAATAGAAGTAACATATCAAAGGAAAAACGGGAAGTACGCAATCAAATAAAATGTGTCCAAGTTGAAAATTTAATTGGTGGTTATCAGACTACGGAAGCATGGAGAACTATCACTAATCTAAAGAAAAACACCCATAACTCCTTAAGCAACTTAATTCCTATAGAAAAGTAGGAAAATCACTATAAAAATTAATCTAAGAGTCCAGATCGGCATACGAGTATATGGGAAAGGAATACAGTATGGAGAGACAAACAAATAGTAACGCAGTACGAGGTCAGTATATGCGTTAATTAAAATAAAAAACAAGCGATCTCCAGGACCTGGCAATATAGCTGTAGAGTTATTTAAAGCAGGAGGTGCACTTCTAATAAAACTAATAACTTTTCTAATGGATCAATGCTGCCAACAAATTATAGTACCATCTGAATTAAAAACCACACACCAAGTGTTCACCTTTAAAAAGGTAAATCAAAAAGATTTTAACTGCTACAGAGGATTAAGTGTCCTACCTTATTTTGGGAGATTGTTTGGAAAGATAATAAATGGAACAATACAAGATGATGTAGGATATCTAATTATCGAAGACCAAAGTGGATTTACGCCTGGTAGATCTTGCACTGATAACTTGTTTATACTCCAATAATTAATAGAAAAAAGAATAGCGATTGATATCGAAGTACATCTAGCCTTCATATCATAGACGTAAGAAAAGGCGTATGATAAGTTCTAAGACTTAAATTGTGGCAAGCTATACAATAACTCGGCATTAGTCCATACCTTTTAGGAATAATTACAGAAGTATACAGGAATAACACTACTTACCTAAAAATCGAAATAGACTATCAGAGCCAATAAAAGTGAAAAAAGAACTAAGAGAAGGATGCAGATTTCACCCTTACTGTATAATTTATATATTGAGGCAGCCCTCCAAAATTGGAAAAACCACTGCCAGGGAATGGAATCCCCATAGGAAATGACGTACTGAACTTTGCGGATGACCATATCGTTCTAGCTCAAGATTCTTATGATAAAGTGTCTATATAGAGGGTTATCTTTGCACGAGCACTAGAGCAATCAAGAGAAGGTGTTAAAATTAACGGCAGAGTTCTAAATAATGTACGATACGCCGACGACACGGTCCTAATTGCAGAGAGCGCACAGGATCTCCAGACACTCTTAGATCGCGTCAGATCGATCGGAGAACAATACGGCCTCAGCATTAACGTCAAGAAAACAAAAACAATGATTGTCTCCAAAACATCCATCCATCCACCCATGGCTTTTAACGTGAATGGTAACATTATCGAAAATGTCGAGAAATTTCGATATCTAGGGTGCTGGATAACGAAAGATATAGATCCAGACATAGAAATAAAATCGCGAATTGAACAAGCAAGAAATGTCTTTTTAAAAATGAAACAAATGTTTACGTCCCAAACACTCAATCTCAAAATCCGATACCGAATGCTGAAATGTTACGTTTACAGCACCTTACTATATGGAATGGAGGCCTGGACCTTTAAAATCAACTCACTAAGGCATTTGGAAAGTTTTGAAATGTGGTTATTTCGAAGGATGCTGAAAGTCCCCTGGACAGCGCATATGAGCAACGAGCAGGTCCTACACAAGATGGGTACCGACAGAGAACTCTTAAAAATAATGAAAACACGGAAAACCTCATATTTGGGACACATATACAGAAATGAGAAATACCAGCTACTGCAGCTTCTTATAGAGGGGAAGGTAGAAGGAAGACGTGGTCCTGGTAGACGGCAGGCGTCCTGGTTGAAGAACATTCGTGAGTGGACTGGTTTGGATTCTCAATCTTTAATAAGAAAAGCCAGGGACAGAAATGATTTCGCTGAGGTTATCGCCAACCTTCATTGAAGACGGCACCCAAAGAAGAAGATAGAGGGTTACATGAAGCCGAACAACTAGGTCAGGACAAAGAAGGATGGAGGGCAATCCTAAAAAAACTGTGAAGGCCTAATGATGTCACCACATCCCAAAAGGGATTAAGACTGAGGAGGAGGAGGTCTATATAGAGCAAATAAAAGTTTTTGAGAGAAAGATTATTATAAAAATACTGGTACCAAAGAGGGAAAACGAAGAGGATGCAAGACAATGGATGAATCACTAAATACAAGAACGTATCGGTCAATACAACATAGTTAAAGCAATAAAAGTACAAAGAATTAGATGGTATGAACTCATCATGAGAAGAGAGAAAAGCAATCCGTTAAGAGGAAATTATAACAAAAGGATACCACAAGGTAAAAAAACCAGAGGCCGACTTAAAGTGAGATGGAGACAACAAATAGAAAAAGCCAAGTATAGTATAGAAATTAGAAACATAGAAAAGACAATTAAAGAGAGAGAAAAATGGAGAAAAGTAGTGGAAGCAGCAGAGTCATACCAGAAACTGCAAAACCAAACCCAGCATGGGATGATCCCCCACATAAAAAGGATCTTCAAGTGAAAACAGCTGCAGCTTCTTCGGGAGCTTATAGCTTGTATATATACAATATATATTGACTCAGGTGAATAAATGCAATCGTTTTAAAATATTGACAAATTTTGGCGCAATTATGATACTTTTTGGTAAATGGTATTTCCCATCAACTTTCAAACGACAATGCTACAACGGGTAAAAAATGGCTTACAAGATTCTTAAAATGTCATTCGAACTTAAGTCTACGCAAGCTGCAGGGCCTTTCCAAAGCAAGAATAAAGAACTTCATGGAATAAGACATCACACGTTTCTTTAGTTTGATTAAACCAGCTCTGAAGAAAATCAATTTTCATCCAGCGAGACACTACAACATTGATGAAACGGAAATAATAACAGCGCAGACGAAACATCCTCGCGTTATTTTCTTTAAAAGGCAAGAAGCAAGTTTGCGCCGAGACTGCTGCTGATAGAGGTTCTGGGGAGGTTCTAGTAACTGGGGTGTTTTGTATGAGCACAATGGGTGTATTTGTCTCATCTTTGTTCGTATTTCTCCGAAAAAACCTGAAAGCTAAGTTGTTAGATGATACTTCTCCTGGATCTATAGCAGCATGTCATTCTTTAGACTGGATTCAACAACATACCTTATTTCACATGCAAAACCAAACAACGATGATCCTGTAGTTGGACTTGTAAGCTTGTTTTGGATGGACATCACAGTAATACAAGAAATTACATGACTTAATCATTATTAAACAGCAATCTTTTTTAAATATGTTAAATTAAAATTGACAAACTATAAAAGATTATACCGTAGTAGCTCATCTCTTTGTCTTTGCTTTTTTCTCTCTATTCGTTTTCGCTTTTTATCAGCTTTTTTGTCCTTTTTTCGTCCTCCTTTCTTTACAGGAGTCACCTCCTCTGGCACTTCTTGAGGAAGCATCTTCAAAAATCCTTGGGTAAAATTCTCCAAAGATATTCGTGGAATAAAAAGTTACAAATATGTAAAAAATTGACAGATATAAAAAAATACGTAATTTGGCGTGAACGTCATTTTGATAATGTATATAAAGTTCAAACCAAACCCTTCTTTCAGTGCGTCATTAATCGGAAATGCGGAAAAAAAGCATATTCGTACATACTCAGAAAAATGAAAAATGTTATTTTGGGGTATTTTTCGATATTACCAAATACATTAAAAGCCTCTACATTGTGCTCCAAATATTCGATGCTACGCACCATGCTTGAAATATGAGAAAATGTAAATATTAAATACCCAAAATTAATTGCTTTCTTAAAAAGAAAAAACCAGGGACATAGGCTAATAAGGCAAAACCTTCTTCAGAGAGGAAGTAAATAAATTTTTACTAGAAACACACAATGATAATTATTAATTAATGACACAGACCTATACAGTTCTAAAAATGACCCACCACTATCATCTAAACAGAATCTCTCGAGGAAAATACAAAATGTTGGCTCAGAGGTATTACCAGAAATAACTGAAGATGAAATCGAAAAATCCATAAACGACATGAAAAGAAATAAAGCGGCCGGTGAGGACAAAATACTGGCGGAACTGCTAAAAGAAGGAGGAGACACGATAAAAAAAATGCTAAAAATACTGTTCAACAAATGTCTGTTTGAAGGTAAAATACCTAAACAATGGAGAAATGCCAACACAATCTTAATACATAAGAAAGGAGACCGAACAGACCTAAACAACTACCGTCCTATTTCCCTTTTGTCACAACTATATAAAACCTTCACAAGAATAATAAACAACCGACTAACCTATAAACTTGATAACTACCAACCAGTGGAACAGGCCGGATTCAGGAAAGGATACATCACAATCGACGATGCATTTACATGCGCTTAAAATCTTAATTGAGAAAACCAATGAATACAAACTTCCGCTGTACTTAGCATTCGTAGATTATCAAAAGGCTTTCGACAGCATTGAACACTGGGCGTTTGAAGAAGTTCTGGTTAATAGTAGAATAGATTCAAGATACCGACAATTGATACATGATATTTACCAAAACGCAACCATGACCGTAATTATGGATGACAAATTAATAACGGATAATATAAAAGTTAAACGAGGAGTCCGACAAGGCGATATAATTTCACCCAAACTGTTTACCTTGACCCTCGAAGACATAATAAAATCAACAGATTGGGAAAACAGAGGAATATGTATTAACGGAAAATACCTAAATCACCTTAGATATGCGGATGATATACTTCTGATCTCCTCGGAACGACAAGAACTGGAATTAATGCTGAATGAACTTCATGAAAAATCACTGCAAAAAGGCCTAAAAATTAACTTCAACAAAACAAAAGTAATGACAAACACGGAAGACCAAGAGGCAATAAAAAAAAACAAAAAAAATAGAACAGGTAAATGAGTATATCTATCTAGGACAAGCAATCCGAGCTAACAGAGAAAATCAAACAGCCGAAATATCGAGACGAGTAAGAATGCGATGGGCAGCGTTCGGCAAACTTTCTTACGTTTTAAAAAATCAAACAATCCCTCTCTACTTACGAAGCAAGGTATATAACTCCTGCCTAATACCGGTGCTCACCTACGGAGCACAGACATGGACATTTACACAGGCGAATTTGGATAGGATAAGGAAGGCACAAAGAGCGATGGAGAGACAAATGTTGGGTGTATCACTTAGAGATAGAAAACGTAATCAGTGGATCAGAACCAGAACAAAGACAGTAGACGCGATAGAACAAGCAGCAAAACTGAAATGGAAATGGGCTGGACACAATGAACGTCTCCAAGACGGACGATGGAACAATGCCATCGGAAAGTGGCGTCCATAAAATGCAAAGAGATCAAGAGGCAGACCACAGATGAGGTGGAAAGATGACATCAGGAAACAAGGAGGTCCCACATGGCAGAGAACAGCTCAAGATAGGGAAAGATGGAGAGAACTGGGGGAGACCTATATCCAACAAAGGAAAGATAGAGAATAGATTCAAAAAAAAAATTAATGAAGGTAAGATAGGTACTTCCAAAAATTAAATAATTATATTAAAGAAATAACGACAAGTATTATATTAGAAATAGGCTAAATTCATAATTCCCTACAGTTGACATATGAGGCCTGGTAGCTCAACAAGTTGATGCGCCGTTCATTGTTAAATATTGCAAATTCCAGCGTCACTCAATATTTTTAAATTCTTTTTTTTTTGTTTTGTAAGATCTCATTTTCAGAATATCAGAAGCATGCAGGTGTGACGACGAGCTCTTTAAAATGATCACTACAAATGTTGAAGATAAAGGGTAAATTTTAATAGTAAATATACCAAATACTAAAACAAATATCCAAATAACATTTGTAATCAATGCTTCACCTGGAAATGGCCCTAATTGTATTGGCATTTATAGGAAATATATATCGTTACATCCTAAAATCGATCAGTCACGTTTATTTGTCTGCTATAGAGTAGGAAAATGTATCAAACAACTGAAGAACTGTAGAAGAATTAAAAAAATCCACAAGGAAAAATTCCTGTAGCTGGCTGTATACCACGTATAACAAAAAGAGGTTAATCTTTGTAAATGGGTATATTTATTTAAAAAACCCTTAAAAGGGCCACATCAATAAAACAAACGTTTTCGGACCACACAGTCCATCATCAGGTTATTAAAATCGAAAATGCTAGGTCACAATGCCTGAGCCACCAAAATATTAGGGTAAAAACCCTTTAAATTACATTTAGTTATGAAATATTGTACATTGTGTTATAAAATAACTGTGATGTTCAGTATTAAATTAAATTTGACTGTAGGTAACACATGGTTCAATTGGGTTCCAGAGCCGGTGAGAGGGAACCTCTGCACTCGGAGAACAACGTGGAATACCCTAATATTTTGGTGGCTCAGGCATTGTGACCTAGCATTTTCGATTTTAATAACCTGATGATGGACTGTGTGGTCCGAAAACGTTTGTTTTATTGATGTGGCCCTTTTAAGGGTTTTTTAAATAAATATACCCATTTACAAAGATTAACCTCTTTTTGTAGAAGAATTAGCTGAAGCATACAGACAAGAATCTACAAATGAAAATTATAGCAATACTTTTTTACGTTATCGGAAAGAAGAAAAAGCAAATCCAATAAAAATTATAGGCAATAACGATGATATAAATACTCCAATTAATAAAACAGAACTATTAGAAACAATCCAAATGTTGTTCTGAAGCTATTTTCTTGTGGCATTGTAAATTAATTACTATTTAACTAGGAATAAGTCACAATTAAAGATAAAAATACGTTTATTGACGTTTCAATTTCCACTTCGGAAATCGTTCTCAAAATACAAACGTTTGTATTTTGACCTGAACAGGTAGGTTTTCTTCTTATAGGTCTACAATAATTAAAAAAGTTGTCAGCTAGCTGGATTATTGAGTGTCACGAGAAAATCCTTATTGCCCTGGACTAATATGACTGGACAAGCAAGTGACGAAACAAACTTCATATATTATGTAGACTTTACTAAAAAAAACGTTCAAAATCCAATAAGTATAAATAATCAAATTCCATATTCAAATACTGCAAAACATTTGGGTATTGTCCAATAAATATAAATAATCAAATTCCATATTCAAATACTACAAAATATTTGGGTATTACTCTGAGCTTCAAAATATTACAGAGAAGAATGAAAAAGGATTGGGGAGGCCTATGTCCAAAGATGGACCGAAGAAGGCTAATTAGATAGATAGATAAACTCTGAGCTTATGTAAAGAAGAAAAGAAAATAATAATTTTGATTGAAATACCTCCCTCGAGAGGGTATATACTTCTTACCTACCCGTCGGCGAGAATTCAGAAACTATCGACAAGGACAAAGTTTGAGATTTTTTAAAAAGTTTATACCAAATAGCTGCTTTGTGTTACACTTAATGTTAAAAATAAAAAAAGATTCGGAAAGTGGGTCAAATTCTGTAGTGCCCTATTTCAAAAACAAAAATTTTACGTTTATTTTAACCAAAAATATTTGAAAAAAATATTGTTTAAACAATTTTTTAATTTACAAAAAAATAGTGTACTAGAACTTTTTAAGGCCTTTCATATAAAAAAGAATGATCTCAATATCTGCCATGTTTTTGCGTTATTTGATATACTTTTACATTGGAATTTAGTTATGCCCAGAATCGCGAGGAATGGCCTTAAACTTAAATCGTCCATGCAGCATTAATAAAAACTTAAAATAAAATTTTTATTGTGTAGTATTTACCCACCTTGCTAGATTCCACAAATGAAAAAAGAAACTCTAGTAATTACGACATGACGTCGGTAAGATTCAAAACGCACATTTTCCCTTGGAGAGAAAAAATTGTCCCAATTATTCACTAATCTCTTTGATCATTTTAATTCACAGGACCATGAAACTCAATCTTACTACACTCATGTGTATTTAGAAGGCAAATGCCGAACTACATGTGAGCGTAAGGCCGTATAAAGACATAGTACCCGATGATTATTTATATTGTTAGGGCGGATGTAGATTTATAGTGAATTAGGCGTTTAAGTGAGTGATTTCTGGAGATCATGAGACAGACACAAGCAAAGGCTGTCGCTGGAATGACATGTCAGGTAAATTAAGACATTTTTATGTGAAAATGATCATTTTTCTCCGATGGATTTATGTGTAAACAATATAAATGTTATAGTTTGGTGGCGTGTAGGTTCAAAGTACATCTGACCTCAATTTAACGTTTGCTTTATAAAAATATTCGAAGATACTGGTTATATTATTTAAATATTAAAATTTCCTTTATCCTATCCTTTACGACTTGAAAACCGGGGTGAATATAACAAAAAGTAGCTCAAACCAGTATTCTTTAATTTCTTTTTATTCATATAGAGCACCTTTTTTCGGTGTTAAAGCATTTTCCATTCAACTTGAGAAGTCTAACCAAATAGTTGTCTGTTAAAAGAATGTATTATATTGTCAATTTCATTTGTTTATTAATTTCAAGTATAATTTTTCTGCAAATGCGTAAACATGATA